TCCTTACCTTGTTGATGTTTTGTTGATTTATTTTCACTTTAAGGTCAATTAAAATTTAAAAAGGCTTTAAATCTGAAGTATTTCTCTGTAACATCAAATATTCAATCTAGGAAAAATCTAGGAATAAAACTCAAAAAAGTCTTTTTTTTATTTGAACACTGAAAAACTATGCTTAGTCAAGGTTAATCTGCTTTATTGAGTTTGTGTGGGTGTAGTTTGATTGACAGTGCTGGATGCATGACAAAATGACCCCAAAACAGTCATCAAGTTTGGATTCAAATGTTACTACTTTGGTTGGTGCATAGATACTACTGTTTGAGTCCAGTCGCTCACAGTAAGAAGCAGATGAACACAGGTTTTCATCCATAATCCAAATAAGTGTCCTTGAGCAAGACACTGAATCACTACCAACTCAAGGACAGTTGCCTTGCAGCTTGGCCAGTTCAACAGTAAACTGAAAAGAGCAAAAAGGGAATTTTCTTACAAAAGTCATGAAGGTTTTCCTGTCTTTTTAAATTTGATTTTTTTTATGTGAATGTGGCAGCTTTAAAATTATTAGTATTTATGTCCTTGTCCTTGGGCCACATCCATACTGTTAACCATGGTGTTATTCCTGATCCTGTACAACCAGATTGCGCCACAATAAATATAACACTATTATCACAACTGACTCTCAAATCTTGCTGAAACATCCACAACTCTGGCTCTTTTTTCTTTTTCTGTTCTTTCAGTTAATTTGAGAACATTTATTTTCCCAGAGTGAAAAGTGTTTTCACTACAAGCTTACAAAGACACTAATGTTGGTTGAAACTTTTTAGATGCGAGTAACACACAAATCCACTGTGTTACCTGTGTTTAAGGGAAAAAGAGAGGTGTTAGTGTGAGTAATGTGTAAATGTGGACGGATGTTAAAACAATGAGACCTTTTGCTCCTCTCTGTGGTCGTTTTGCACTCGCATTCTGGTCATTTCACGTCCATCTCTGGTAACTTTGAGTCTCTCTGTGGTAGTTTTGTGTGTTTTTGTGGTCCTTTTCTTTAAAAGACATTTTGAAGCCCAGGCGGCCCCCAGAGCTCTTGGACCTGTGGCCAGTAGGCCAGTTCAGTAATCCATTCATGGTGTTTTGGACTAACAATCTCCTACTGAGATCTATCAGCCTAGCTTTAATAATCCAACTTGACTTGCATATTTTACAGATGGTTGATTGCATCCAGACTTAAGAACAATTGGCTGCTCCCGTAGTGTGAAGGCTCACAGGAAGCACAGCCTTCAGTAAACATCTGCTTTGTTTAGTTCTTAGATCTGCAACTTATTTCTTTCTCACAGTATGTGGTAGATCTCACACTGGGCCGATCGGAGTAAGTGTGAGAGACAGAGAGAGAAAGAGAGAGCATTTGGTAAAGCATGTGGTAAGAAATCCCTTCACATCATATTATGAGCCAGTTTAGCTCTTACATTTGGAATTCACGCCTGTCTCCATGCTCCTTTTAACGCCTCTGCAGTTATCAAATCATTAATTAAGCTTATGTCGAATCTACCCAGAGAGCCTGGTGTGGGAGAGAGATACGACTGCAGGCACCACCAGCCATCTGCTTCCAACATGCTGATGTTGCAGGCGATCAGTCCTAATAGGCCCTGTGTCCAGGCAGAGCCAGAACATGCAATTGTTTCAGCAGCACACTGACAGGACTGTTTCAGGGCCTGAAACTTGGCAATCTGTATCAGAAAGCATCCCATTATAAGTGACACCTCTTTGAAATGTAATTACACACACAAAAATAAGTGCACAGATGTACTTGTACAGATTTACATCCACATAATGAGCCCTCATGAGAGCTGATCGCATACTTGTAAATCCACCATAAAAGGTACAAATTAGTTTCTGATTTCTTAGTTTAGGTTGCATTTTGTACCATTTCAGCCTGAACTAAAGGTCGTCACTTGGGTTGCATGCATTAGTTTAAGCATATTGTGTAGTGCTTACATACATTTGGAAAATCATCCCAAATGTATTGCAGCATGCGTCTTTGTGACATCTCGTTTGCTTTGCTTTGTAAATGTTTCAAGGTCCATTTCCTTTCATGAACACATGAACACACCATGCTCTACCAGGTGTTGGCAATGTGGAACTCACCAGGTGGAATTAGAGGGAGGGAGGAAGCCTTGGGTTCTTTTTTCTTTGCTTTTTGTATTTTCCTTTTCTTCTCAGCCCTTACAAGATATATGGTGTTCTTGAGTAATTGCAGTTACATGAACATTTTAAAGTTACCAACTTTATGCAGTTAACTTAATTGTCTTTTCACACCCACCTAATAAGCAAGTGGTTTTGACCAGGAGGTATTTAACGCTGCTGTTTGAGTCATGCGCTTGTTTTGTCTGTAGGGCTCTTAATCAGGTTTCTGGGCTTCTGTTCTCCTTGGTGATGCCATTAGTTTCCCAAAACTGTTGGCTCACATCTGGATCCATATCAGAAACTGAGAACTGACTAAGTTAAGATTGGAAAGTTGACCCAAATCTTAAAATGTCCTTGACATTTTCAGTCTGAACATGAGATGTCTTTAACATGGCCACATTACAGATGATATTTATTTGGGTAACAACACCCTCAAGTCAATCTTCAGGCTACAATAAAATGTTTCATCCATGAAGCCGTTTTGTTTACTGGTGTATATGAACATCACAGCGCCACATGGTGCTTGCGCGGCTTTCATACTTTTTTATTTTGCTGCAGCTTTGAATTAGCTACATCAATCTGACAGCTGTGTCTTGTTCAGCTGACTTCAGCATGTTAGAGGAGATGCACAATATTGTGTTATAGTAGAAAAAGGCTCAGGTAAAGCCACCACAGGAGAGAGTGAGAGCGAGTGTCGGCCAAAGTTTCACTAGTTGAATTTGACAGAGCTGTTAGCACATCATTGAGATTCAGTACAGGTTTAGATCAGAGCTGGCATTATTGGCCACATTTCATGGTCTGAATCTTTTAAATTCCATTTCCTTGCCAGCTAATGGAGGACTGCAGGTGGCTGCTTAGACACTGATCTGCACTCGGCACAGTGTGTGTGCTTCTAAGTTCTGGGTGTGTGTGTGTTTGGTGATGATAGGTAATCTTCACAATCTTAGATCCCTTTTGAACAATGAAAGGGCAAACTCAGATTAAAGTGGCTCCTCACAAGCCTGTCAAACTGCATATTTATATTTAAAATGTATTTGAGACTTTTATCTGAGTCTGGGACATCTAAAGTGACTCGTCACATCTTCTATTTATGGAATTATTTACAGAATACTAAACTGCATTGTCGAGGACTTTGATCCTGACACTAGACTCCAGGAATCACAGACAGAGCTAACAGGATTCGTAGGATATGTGGCAACCTTCAGACGAATCGTATGAGTGATTGAAGTAGTTTCTCATCAGTACTTGTGGACTTACTGCTCCTACTGGAACCGACCCCCCTAAAGGTCACTCTGTGGGACACTGACAGGCTCAAAGGCTCATAGTTGCACCACCTTAAAGCCCCATAAATCAGTGTATCTGAGTTGCGGATGCCTTGTTTGCAGTGACACCAGCTGGAAAAGTAGAGGATTTATCAGCTCTGTGGCAGCAAGAGTCTTCAACGTTCCTGCTGTAACACACAGGCTGAGCTCCGAATGCTTTTTTTCTAAATTGATCCGAGGATTTCATGTAAACATGTTGGTCAGCTCTTCTGGACGAGTAGAACATGTGTTACTCCTTTATCCATACACTGCACTGATGTTCCTGTTTCTGTGTTTGTAGAGAGTCAGACCATCCCATTGCATGAAAGAGACACAGTACAGCAGGTACAGAAAGACACATCTGTCAACATCACACTGATCTGTGACTGCACTGAGTCATTTAGAGTCCATTAGAGCAGTGGTTCTCAACCTGGGGTCTGGAGGGTCCCTAGAAAAGTGGAGTTATCAAATACAGGTCTGCAGCCTGATGTGTATCAATTTGGGGGTCCTTCACACCAAGAAGGTTGGGAACCACTGCATTAGAGTGATGGTACTACCACCTACTGGTGGTCAAACTGAACCATCACTTGTGTCACAGTGTAATCAACTTAAAGGTGGGATCAGCCATTCTGGAGAAAAGTATTTTAATCTCATTCCCAGGCGTCAAATAAAGATATTTTGACAGTATTTGACATCCTGGGAGCACAAACGCCACCTGTTGTGTTGTGTGGCTTGCTCAAGAATGACTTACCCCATCTTTATTACCCTGTTTGCAGATTTCTTCAGTTTTAGAACTGCAAAGAGTTCACGGCTATAAATTGTGCTACACATGAACAAAGTGATTTCCGTTTTAAGTGATCTCACACTGATGTCTCTGGAAGCACTCATTCATAGTATCAGTACCAAAACCAAACCAGCACTCCTTTGCTCCAATACTACCTGACCCCGGGTTTTCTATGTCACTTATTTTGAGGCAATTAACTTTATAACAATCTAAACTAAAATAAGATCTTGAAACCAGATTTTAACACCCCTATACAAGACAGGGCCTAAAGATGATGATGATGATGATGATGATGATAAAACCTCCTTTTACAAAATATTATACCTTAGTCGTGCACATTTTCTAACATTTACAATTAAGTATTTGGATAAAGAAGCTTGTGAAAAATGAGGTGTGTCAAATTTGGAAGGCTATACTTGTTATGTGTCAGATACAGGTTTAATGAACATGTGTGTATATTTACATGTCTGCACCTCATGTTAAAGGACCCAGAATCAGGATCAGGGCCAAAAAAACTTGATCGGGACACCCTTACCCGGCTGTAACCATTCAGAGGCTCATCCTTAGATTACAGGTTTCCCCTACAAACCTCTTGGGTTCATTGTTAAATTTCTGCAAACAACAATGATTTTCTTTCTTGAAAATCCAGCAGCTCCACCGGCACAATGTAATGACACTGTACTAGCAGGTTATAGTGCCCCCTGCTGCCTGATGCTGTCATTACAGGCCATGCACAGTTTAACTTTCAGGTTTTAATTTACTTTATTCTTTTCACAGTAGTCTTACAGTCTTCTTTGTCATTTAGAAAATATCAAAGCAGTCAGACAATTGAATGAATGAACATTAATGAACATTTAAATATAAAATGACAAAGAGTTTACTCGATATGGCACTAATATTTAATTTAAGCTGGTCTCTGCTGTTTTCTTTCTGGATACATTTTCCTCAACATTTCAGCCAAAGATTCCCTTCTTCTTTGCTGTTGAAGAGAAACAAACATGGTATTATTCCCTGCACGGCATCCTCATTAGCCTCCACTGCTGTTCCTCCCTGCCCCATTTGTTTCCTTACCTTTTTCAGTAACAGTATACATCGCCTCCATGCCACCTTTAATGTGGTCAGTGACGTGACAGTGGAGCAGCCAGGTTCCAGGATACTGAGGATGCATCTTTACTGTCTGAACAGGAAGAAAATGGGAACACTACAAGATTAATTTCTATTAATATTTGACAGCACTGTCAAGTCAACAGAGAGAGGCTAGTTTTCCTGTAACCTAATGATCTTCTTATTTTGTATTTATCTGCTATTAAAGATGGCAGGATTGGCAAAGGAACACTGTTCAAACTAGAAATCTGACAAGTTTTGTTAAAATTATGAAATACTACACTTGCAGCCATGTTTAGCATTTCATAATTGTAACAATATTTGTCAGTTTTCTTAGTTGACACCTGTTTGTTTTCTTAGGTCCAGTGTGTAGGATTTAGGAGCATCTAGATTATAATAAATTCATCTCGTGATTTTTTTAAATTTTAATTTTGTCTTTCTATTGTTTATATTTCTTGCCCCATTTGCAGATATTTTTTCTGACTTGTTTTTAGAAAATTACTTGTTACGATGAAGATTTAACAATCCAATGAATGATGAATAACAACAATTTATGTGGTTACGCTGATCCCTAGAAGTTAAACCAATGAGTGAAATTAAAATAGTACATGCATGTTTAATATAGCAAAAGAAAAGTAGCCAGTTCAAGATGTTTTGAGGTTTTACCTGGAAGGTGGCTGGAAACAGTTCATACACATCCGTACGATGAGGACCTCCACCCATCTGAAGAGAAATAAGAGTTGGTATTTCTATGTATTTCTGTTGTGTAATGTGTGATTGTGTGTGACTTGTATGTTTTTATGTACCTTATATTCCACACTGTGTCCATGCCAATGTGCGGTGTGAATGTCCACATCATTGCCCATTCCCATCAGGTACCAGTAAACTTTATCACCCACCTCCATGTTCAAACCATTTAGATTTCCATACATAAGCCCATTAATTGCTGAAAAACAGACAAATGCATATATTGGAAAGGAGATTTAAAGGTATGTCCTGAAGCAACAACAAAAAAAAAATCATCTGTCAAAATGAAACAGTTTATTTTTAATGTTGTTTATCTCACAGTGCATCTTGTTGCTCTCTATGAAGGTTTCATCCTCCTTCAAGTTTTGGCGTGGGGTCCTGATTTTGGTCCTGATATTTTCATCCAGATACCTGGAATAATATTAATAACAGTAATAACTAAATAATAAATATACAGATTTTTGTCTGGGATTCCTGTAAAAAGATATCAACACCACACCAAGTACTGTATAGTGTATTCTGACGCTGATTTGTATGTGTGTATCATAAGACCAAAAATGGTGCTTTTATTTAATTAAACTAGATACATGAGGGATAAGAAGAACACATACTGTAAAAACATGGACTAAGGCATGACGTGGGACCCTGTGAATTTGGTTCTAGTAGCACCTTTTTCACTTGAACTATTTTCCACTGATGAAACAGGTCACACAGGGAGGTCTGTGGATTGGATTGCTGTGAGTGACTTTGTACTTACCAGCTCTCATTCTCATCAAAAACCAGGAAAAGCAGTGCAAACTCTTCTATTTCCTTCTTCATACCCAAAGACCTGGAAGCAGTTTATAAAGCTCTACATTAGCACTGTAGTGGTTTTGTGATGCAGTATAGGATAGTTCTGTATTTATGTACAGGTGTAGAAACACTCACCTGCCCCAGCTACGACGACAGATCACCAACGGACCAATCAGACCGCTGTACAGGTCCTGGCAGGTAGATAGACAACATAAGTGTGTGAATGCTGTGTGTGTGTGTGTGTGTGTGTGTGTGTGTGTGTGTTTGTGTGTATTAGCATACCTTGGTAACATCAACAGTGGAGTAGTATGCTGACACAGAGCACTGCTCTTGCTCTGCAGTTGGTCCTGTATTCTTTGTAACATACCAATAGTAGGTGTGAGTCGCACCTGGGACAGGGATTATAGTTTTTATTAATGCTATATCAAGAAAACTGTTACACACACAGTGTAATGTGAGCTATGTGGAAGGACAGAGAATCCTGAGATCAACTAATACACAGGCAGAAAATAAAGCCATGCATGTTATTTTATTACACAATAATAATTAAATCACAATTAAGATGGGATTTTCTATTTCCAATGTTTCCTGATTGTGTGCCTTCCTGTCAGCTGCTATGCTGCCTCTCTGTACCTGGTTGGGTTTGGTAAACATCTGGGGTCTCTGTCTTGACTCCATGGGCATGGATAGAATAAGGCCTGGACGCCATGTTTTTAAAAACCACCTTCACCTTGTCTCCAACATCAGCATGAATCATTGGACCTGGGTGAAGGGAAAGTACTCTAATTACCAAGACCAAGTCAAACTCAACAAAAAGTCAGGTGAAACATAAATAAATCCACAATGTTTTTTACCAATCCACGGTATGAATTGTGGCTTTAGTTTGTACATATCTGCTTCCCTGTAAGCCTACCCATAATGCCAAGGTGCTCCATATCAGCCGTTCTATCCACCTGCTTGGTGAATTTGTCGTTGGTGAACTGACGGTAGACCACCTTCTTGTAACTGGAGCCTATAAACCCACCCTGCTGGTCCAGGAAGACATGAGCAGGACTGCAGAGGGAGAGAGAGAGGCCTACATTGTAGAGGAGTAAGTGAGGTCCGGGGTGTGTGTGTGTGTGTGTGTGTGTGTGTGTGTGTGTGTGTGTGTGTATGTATGTGTGGACTATGTGGACTATTTTTAGCAGCGGATTAATCCACATTTGATGCTCTAGTAGTATTTACAGCTGATGGTGTATGAGGGATTGAGTCACAATAGACTGCACTGTGTGTGTTGCATGGTTTTATATTTTAATATTAATATTTTATTTTATTTTTATTTTACTGCTGATAATTTGTACTGAACTTTACCTTTTCAAAGGATAAACCCAGCCTATTGTATCAGTAAACAGGTAAATCATGTGCACGTGGTACTGTACCTGTCCTGACCGCGGAACATCTCAGCCTCCCAGGTGCGGTTCGGAGAGTAGTCCCATTCAGTTTCCATGGCAGCGATGTAGTAGGTTTTTGAATGGAGCATAATCTCACTCTGACGCTGAAAGAGGCTGCACTTCTGTACCGTGTAGTTGGCTCTCATCCCACCACGATAATGGTTCACTGTAGGTGACACCACTTCAAACTGACCTGAAACACAAGCAAACATTATACGTGCAGAAATATAGAATGCCAGGCTTAATATTGAAAGTCTGTATCTACTTTCATGGCAATGTTTGTGAGGAGCAATTTGAGTTTTAGACTTTGTAAGTGAGGTAACTTCGCAAGCATTCTCACTTCTTCAAATGATATTTTGAAGACTTGGTTTCATGGTAAAAATGTGATTACGGTAATGTTAAAGGTTGGGGTTGTAATGCTTGAGGTAGTCAAACGGCTCTAGATAATTAACTGTCTGCAAGGGTAAAGGTAAGGAACAGAAGCCTTTGTTATTATCTTGTCCTTTCTTTTTGGCTTTACATTTATTTACATATATTTGTGTTTATATTTGTCTACACCTTAAATAATGGATGGTGGTTTGTGAAAGTATTAGAGACAGCAATGGAAATAAGTCCTTGTGTAAGACTTTGCCGTTCTATCCCTCTCGTCTCATATCTTATAAATATATTAGAATTTTGCCAATGAACCAAATCAGTCTTTTAGTATCTTTGTTTGGTGGTTTAGTTTTATCCTTATTCTTTTGCCAGATTTGCTTTGCCTGTACTGTACTGTACTGTACTGTGTGTGTGTGTGTGTGTGTGTGCGTGTGTGCGTGCGTGCGTGCGTGAGGGGGAGATGCCTACCCATGCTGTCTGGCTCCATAGTGACAGTGTGTGAGATGTGAGGGAAGACGCTGATGGAGTCTCGTCTGTTCTGGTGGTAGATGAAGCGGTTTCCCTGGAAGTAAAGGCTGTTGATGTCTGACTCTGAACCCAGTCCGGACAGGTGCCACGTTACTTTATCCCCCTTGCACATGGTCAGGCCTGGGAGGTTCCTATACACAAAGCCATTGATGGCTAAAAGAGAGAGCCACAGATGTGAAACATAATAAAAAATGCAGAATCCATATATTTAGTGAGGGATTGTAGAGAGGCTTCTAGTGATCAGAGTGTAAATGTGTGTACCCTACACACCGTGCATCTTGTTGCTTTCCATAAATTCCTCTTCCTCCTTGTTAACAGTGGTGGGGGCAGTGGTGAAGGTCTTAATGTTTTCATCCAGATACCAGCTCAGGTTCTCATCAAACACGGTAGCCATGAGGTGGAACTCTTTGTCATAGTTTTTCTACACAAAGAGAAGAAACAAATAAAGAGGAAATTGTGGTTTCATCGACACATTTTGGCTCACAAACTGGTTATAGTACCTTCATGTGATCTTTAGTCTGTATGTCTCTTGAGTAGGCACACAGTAAAGTATTAACCTCAGTAGATTCCAAATCCTAATTATGTTTAATTATTGAAGCAAACAATACTTAAAGTATCAAAAGTTAAAACTCTTTGACAACATTATCAGATTTTTAATTAACTACATTTTACTGTTGTAGTTGGCCAAGATTGAGCAACTTTTATTTACTTTACATACTTTGTGACTATGCCCACATACTGGTTCCAGACATCCACATGCCAATTAGTATGATTATCAGTAAAGGCAGTTTTAAGGCTTTAAACCTTGAGATTCCCTGCGGCCCCATTCAGCCTCTTCTTTGAGTTGCATTTCTCATATCACCATTCATACCAAGATCACATCACCACAGACATATATGGAAGTGTCAGATTGACCTGATTTTTTATCATATTAAAGATCACATTATGATGATGAGTGTATTTTCTGTGGCTCTATTCTCACCTGTGCTCCTTTCTTCAGAGATCCAAGTCGACAGATGAGGAGCGGTCCAACCAGTCCAGAGTTGGTGTCTTTAACAGGATCCACTCCAGAGTAGTACAGATAGGTCAGACAGTCAGCCTCCCCCTGTACTGGACCAGCACCCACTGGCACCATCCACTCATAGGTGTGCACCGTCCCAGGTCTGACCAGAGCAGCTGGGGGAGGTGTCACCACTCCTGAATACAAACATTAACATAAAGAAAGAGAATTAATATGATAAGAAGAATTTGACAATTAGTTTAATTCAGATTTTGACTCACTTGGTTCCCTCTTTAGCTCCCGCAGTTTTTTTGCTGTATAGGACTCTGAGGAGAGGAAGTGTAGGGGTGGAAAGATGGAGACATAAAAACAAACGAGGGAGCTCTTCATGTACACTGATAAAAGTATGTGTTTATGTCTATATATATTTACCTTCAAGTTCATTATGATAGAGCGTCCCATCCTGTTCCACACTGTACTGAACACCATGTGGTTGTATACTGTAAGGTCGGCTGGCTTTGTTCTTGAACACCACACTGATAGTGTCCTTTTCTTGAGCCCGTAGCACAGGACCTGAGACATGGATGGACACAAGCACAAGATGTTTTTCTGAGATATCTCATCGTAACAACATTTCAAACATTTGTGTTAAACACTGAATCTGGAAGTCCTGTCATGTAATGCTTTCTTAGCCTGACAAACTATTGAAGTCTTACCCAAATAGCTGTAGAATGTATTAACTAATTAGTCGATTGACAGAAAAAAAAAAGAAAAGAATATTGACATTTCAGCTACTAAAAAGTGGCAATTTTCTGCTTTTCTCTGTTTTATATAATTATATCTTAAATATCTTTGGGTTTGAGAGAGCTGGTTGGACTAAACAAGCAATTTGAAGATGCCTTGGAGCTTGTGATGTGCATCTTTCACTGTTTTCTGACATTTTAATAGGCTAAACATAATAATAACTGATGAACAGATTAACTGATGGTGAGTTTTAACTTGGAAGGGGAGAGAGACAAACTAACCTACAAGCTAATTAGTTACATACCAACGATGAAGAACATTTTGTACTAATATGACTTTATTTCTGCCTCCACAGCATCTCTGACTTTGAACAAAGTGTTACCAATCCCAGCCCAGCCCAGTTTACCCAGAATTCCAAGGTGTTGCTCCTCTGCACTGCGCAGCATCTTTGTTGTGAAGGTGTTGTCGGTGTATTCCACATAACGCACTTTCTTATAGCGACTTCCAATACGGTTTCGACCTTTGGTTACAAACAGGTCTGCTTCACTACACACACAAACACACAAATACGAATTATTAATAACTTACAGAAACAGAAAGACCAGCCAGAACCATTTCTGGGAAAGTGTGTGTGTGTACAGTAACCAACCCATCATTAGGTGGCGTGGGAGCGTAGTCCCAGACCTCTTCTTCAGCAGCAATGAAGTACTGTCTGAGTTCACCGTGTGGCCGTGGTTTATGGACATTGGGGAAACACTTCTTGATCTCAAATATCGCCTGCATTCCAGCTAGACAAAACCACAAAACAAAAATAATATGCAACAATAAAACCATATTGAATGCTTGAATTATACTCAGCATCATCTTTATGAAATGACCGGCCTCATATTAGGAATGGAGGATGTCAGCTCACCCATCAAATGATCGTTGACAGTGCACGTCAGCAGCCAGTGTCCGGGGTTGTCAGCTACCATTTCAGCTGTAGTGCTGACCGCAGGAAAAAGGCTGACTGTGTCTGTATGGTGGTTCTGAATGGTCAGGATTTGGCCATGGAAATGAACTGAATGCATGTCCACCTGGTGTAGATAGATTACATTACAAGCATTCGACTGCAGTGAAAACCAAAATATAAGCAGTATACTTACTATACTGTTTTTAAATGAACTATCATCATAGACAAGACATAATTAGAAGGAGAACAAGTGTCTTAAAGAACATTGGTGAAAGAGTGCGACTGAATTTTCAGCTACAAAACGATAACTAACTTGCGTCCTGAAAAGGTTTTGAATATGTAAAGAGCACTTCATTTGAACAACAGTAACTGTGAGACCTATATTTACAGATACTTTATTTACATGACTGTCTAGTTAGCGTACTTTAGCGTAATTTTAGGTGAATATCTAGGCCCATACATCTTACACAACATTTATAAGAATTAAAAGCTAGTGTGTCATTTTGGTTTGTTATGTTCTTAAAGTAAACTAGACTCTTTGGAAACATTTTCTAAAACATGAAACATAGTCGTAGTAGTAGTAGTAATAGTAATGCAATAGTTACCTCATTGCCTAATGCAAACAAATGCCAATGGATCTTGTTGCCTTGACACATGCTCAGTCCAGGCAGGTTACCGTACAGAAAACCATTTATACCTGTAATCCACACTCAGAGTTAAAGGTATGTCTGTGTGTATGTGTTGGGGTTAGTGGATGTGGACGTGGATGCTCTCCCTCACCGTGCATTTTGTTGCTCTCAATGAAATCTTCATTCTCCTTCAGGCCTTGGGCAGGATTCGTGATGTGCGTCCTGATGTTTTCATCCAGGTACCAGCTGAAGTTCTCATCTGACACCATGAACAGCAGAGCATACATGTAGTCTCCTGACCTATCTCCATGTACGTCCAGAGTTCCTACAGAGGAAAGGAGAAGGTAAACCCACGTAAAGGCCCTGAATACTTATTTTCTTAATTAACTTCTTACCATCATTAAAAGGATTCAACACAGACAGACTATCTCCAGCCAAAGTATGAAGAGTTTTGATTATTTCACATAAGATATTAACAGCATTTCTGTTTTTTCTTAAAGTGGGCGGGTTTGGAAAAGGGATTTTTTGACAGTTGGGTTGTTTGATCATATTTAATTGTCAGCGACCAAACCACACTCACAGTCCTGATGACACAGATTAGCTGAGGTGTTTAGTTTTGAACTAACAAACCCCTAAATATCCTATTTTTATCAAACTTTGATATTAAGTCATGCATATTTAATGTGATAACCAAATCATTTCCAGCAACTTTAAAGTATGTCATAAAACTTAATAAGATCATAAGATATGAAATTCACTGTAATGAATGCATCATGAACAGTAAAAATGACATAAATGAATAAATGAAAGTATAAGTACTCTAAAATTGTACAGCACTTGACTTTCTTCTACCACTGGATACTATAAAAAAAGGTTCCAGTACCTCTCTTGCAGATGATGAGGGGTCCTATCAGTCCTGAGTTGATGTCTTTCGGTGGGGAGACGTGGGAGTGGTAGAATCTGGTTAGACAGTTGTCATCCTCTGCCGTTGGGCCGTGGCTCTCTGGGAGGGTCCACTCATATCTCACTGTTGTACTAGGAGCCACTGAGTCATCACGCTTCAGCTCTGGACTGGTACCGTCTGGGTATAGGGCTCCTGGTGAGACAAACACAAAGTCATCTATCAGTCTGTTAGGTCTGCTCGTGCACTGATGTGTGATTTAAGTCATTAGTTCCTCACCCTCATTGCCCTTGCTGTAGTTCAGTCCATGTGGGTGGATGCTGTAAGGTCTGGAGGCAATGTTCCTCAGGTGGACGATCAATGTGTCCCCCTGCTCGGCCATCAACAGCGGCCCCAGGTAGCCCAGCCAGTCCGGCTTCGTCACCTCAGTCCTGTAGGTGGCGTCGCTGTACTGCTTATACACAGCTTTCTTATAAGTGGGGCCGATACGCTGGGGGCCTTTTTTTAAAAACACGGAGGCTTCTCTACAGAGAGAGAGTAAGAAATGTGTCTGTATGTGTATCTATTATGGATTACATTTAAAATATTATGCACATATTCATACATTTATGCAGGTACTATACAATATGTGAACAAAACAAAAACAGTACCCATACTATATTTTCCACTTTAATTCTGCTTCGGTCTTTTCATTATGCAGATCTAATGCATGTGTGCTGTCATGTGTGAGTGTGTGTAACCAATTTCTGACCTGATTTGTGAGGCCTTCACGTACCTACTGAGTTATGCATCTATGTACATATGTGTGAATAAGGGAAAGAGCCGTGCTGTGCTATGCAGCTATTTTCTGCAGGTCTTTATTAATGATTGTGTAAAACTATTTCACTACATTCATGTGTGTTTTTGCATTTATCAAGTCACTTTATTTAAGAGTAGGCCTACGTAAATAAACATGCTAGTCAAAGTGGTTTACCAAAAGGTTTAAAAGTATAAAAACACAAGTAACTTATTAAACAGGTTAATGTAGTGCATTAAATACAGAATATACAAGAAACACATCACAAAGTAAATCCCGGATTTGATACTGATACAATTAAAGGATTAAGTGCCACTTTATATTTCAAGAAGCTACATAAAACATTTGGAAATCCAATTGGATTAGCTGAAAAATTCATTTTCATATATAAGAATTAGATTTAGATTTTGGTCCTGATAATATGAGACTTAAAAATGGTAATAGATGTGGAATAAGTAATCTTTCAGGGATAAACAGGTAAGAAGTCTGGTGCAAAAACTAAGTCTGGAGGAAGAGTGACTACTGCTGCTACTGTGAAAGGTGGAATAGAGGATGAGATTATAGTAGTTGCCAATCTATTGCTTTATAAACAAATCTAAATGTAGAAATAACACAGGAGAGATATGGTCTTTTTTTCTTGATACCAACGCTGCTGCAGTTTGGATGAGCTCCAGGAGGGTTCACTGACTGAGACCAACATAATCAAGACAATGTACTGTACTCATACTTACTCATCCTCCTGCAGAGTGCGGTTTTGAATGATGTTCATCCCACTTGGGGCATAGTTCCAAGACACCTCCTCTATCCTGAAGAAGTACTCTCTTGTCACCCCAGACACACATACTGCTGCACAACACAGCAGCAAGGCTCCCCTCAACCCCAACCGACGCATTTTGAAGATGAAACGATACAATCACAAGTCCACAGGGGAACTGCCAACTGAAGGAGATGAGTCTTTATTTCTGTTCACTAATCCAGCAGATGATGATGATTATGATGATGATGATGTTGAAGACAAACAGTGCAGATAACTGACAGGCGTTAATCAGTCAGTCTGTCTGAGACACTTTCGACCCTTTGCGTGTCTTTATAACTGACTGACAGCTGGGGAAAGCAGTGGGGGGGTCACTGACCAACAGATAAGGTTTGAGGCAACCTTTCTGTTTGATCAAAAGTTGCATAAGAACAGAAAATGTTTTACCCAGCGTCATTCACTTTGATTGTCCAAACATTAAAAGATCTGATTTAAGTTACATTTACATCAGAATTCATGTAGTTTCTTCTTTTGGTTGGAATATTCTTTAAAAAGATCTCTGCCATTGTCTTTTTCTTTTTTTTGTGACTATGGAAATGCAGCCACAAATCTGACATAGTCATGTTTAGGCAATGATTCAAACACTCTGACTTTTGATCCTGTCAATACTGGAAGAGACACTGATTCCCTTGCTTAAATGTGTGTATTTCACTGTGTTGAACTAATCAGTTTAACCAAGTTAGGCAGTTTAATTATTGTAACTTGAATTACTCCCATCTACCTCCTCAGACAATTAATTCAATTTCAAGAAGTTTATTATTGCTTTAAGGTTTATAAAACATTTTTAATTCATGATGTGACAGAAAAGGACATTCTTTTGAAGGCTGCAATATTCTCCTCTCAGCCACACTCTTATAAGGACTTTTTAAGATTTACACAATGGGCTTGGTCACATTTGGCTCAATCTAGTGTAGATTAAAAGCAGGCAACTCTGGAAACTCCAGGACAGAAACTTTGGTCCGGGAATTGATTACAACACACGGAGCAGCCTGTATGCACACACAGACGTACACAAACCAACATTTTGACCTGTCAGACATAAGTTAATGTTGGATTTGTGTCACTGACCGTCCTCTTCAGTGAGTGAGTGGGGTCAATGAGGTTGAACTACAAAGAGGATATTGGATAAGTTGATGTAAACATTTCATTTACAGGAACTGTTTGGAGGACTTGCAGGAGAAGGGTCAAGCACAAATACACACACTCACACAGACACACATCTACTGTAGCTCTGCTGTGTGTTACATAATAACACCATATAACATCTTTGGGGATTTTGGCGAGTGTGATTGGAGTGTGAAGGTCCGGTCTACAGATTTTAACCTGAAGCTTCTACTTAATAACTCATGGGATACTTAAACTGGAAATAGTTATTTTTTTTTATTCAAGGCAGCAAAAACAAACAAACATTATAAAAATATGTCACTAAAATATATATAAAATGTCCATTAACACTGATCTAGCATCCAAAAGATGTAAAGAAAACAATTTACAACAAAATGCTCTGAAAATGACAACAAATATACAAATAGACACACAAATCTGCTCCTAATCCTGAAATGATCCAACACTTAAGCGTTGTTGTAATCAATTAGTGATCCAACACAGTGTGTAAATGATGGAAGCACAGGAAAAGGACAGATGGGCACTTCCTGGTGCATCAGATAATCATGTCAGCCGAGATGCTGATGACAGACTAAAATAATGGAAATCTCTTCTTGCAAAGACACCATCAATAATGAGATTTCCACAAGAACTTAATTTCCAACATTATCAAACAATACATGGCTGCCATGTTCCACTAAGCATACTAGTGTAATGACAATGATTTGAACTGTTGTATTATTTGTTTATACAATACACATGGTAGGGTAGCTGTTGAGTTTATGAAGGTATACAAAGTACACAAATAATAATAAGTGAGGAACCTTGACATTAAAAAACAAATAAGGCACATTTAAGTTGCAGTTTTCTTTCTTTCACACACTGCTGGCAAATACTTCACTGAAACTTACTATCCTGTATGGCTAATAATACTATTATTAATATCAAGGGTTCTTTGTCTTTATTATTTATACATGTTGGTCTTCTTAACCTCCTTTCACCGAGTACAAAGTAAGTTGCATCCTCTTTGTGAGTAATCAGGTCACGCACACACACATCCATATTATTATGGACTGAATACCTGTTGTCTTTGAAAAATAAAAATAAAAAACTCATCATCCTCAATGACTGCAGAGTCATTTTTGCCCCTTTAACAGGGCAAAATAAAAGCTTGAAAATATAGTGGTTGCACTTACATGGCTGTCAGGTGTCCATGATACTGTATACATTATGTAAGTGTGTAAGTAGAGAGGTTGTGTTGTACTCACAGACACACACACACACACACACACACACACACACACACACACACACACACACACACACACACAATGCCGGGCAATGAGTCGTTTGTGTGTGTCCATAAATGACTTGTGTGTGTGCATACTTGTTGAGTGTGTACATTTTTTGATGTGTACACATGCTCTTGTGTCTCTGCAGATGCATCTACATACACGTGTGGGTGTGTGTGTGTGTGTGTTTGTCTAAGCATTAAGACTATACTCCTGCTTATAGCAACAGGGTCGGCAGACGGCGTTGACTAAACCGTTTCCCAGCTGCAAGAGACAGATGATGAACTCCAGCACAGCCAGACCCAGCAACACACACAGCAGAGTCACGTTCCACTCTACGATATGAACCGGCTGAAGACACTGCGACCAACTCTCTGGTTGTAGGAGATACCTGGAAACACAAAGAGAGAGTTTAGTAGAGACACTAGTACCTGTAAGTACACACTGATGAATTAAATGACATAAGTAAACAATAATACATGACAAGCTTTCCTGATCAACAAGATGGAGGCACATAATATTTAGATTAGTTCTAATATAATTATTATATTAATGTAGCACCTTTTTTTTTAAATCACATTTTGGACTGTTGGTTAGATAAAACAAACAATTGTAAGATGTTTTTTAATTATTTGTTGAAATTTTATCGACTAAATTCTTAATACATTAATAAAAAAATTAAAAATTGAGAATAAAATGATCATTAGTTGCAGCCCTAAAAGACACATACACTGTATTTGCACTTTCTCATTTGTTTATACACCCCCATGCTACCACACATACATTGCAGTATCTCCCTACCTGCCCCCATGGTCTGCAAAGGGGTGAGACCATCCGAAAGAGGTGAAGCACTGAGGTCCCTGCACCAAGGCGAATCCTGATACGACGAAACAGTAGCCAGACCCCACCAGGCCCACCACAGCTGCCAACACTGATCCGCACATCTGGAGAACAACACAGACACACAAAGTGATTTTAGAAAAGAACGTGCACGTGTTTGGATTTGTGACTGTCTATCTGTAAAAATGCAAGCTGATTCATATATCCATTTCATATATAAATTAAAAGGCAGCTGCTACAGACACACACACACACACACACACACACACACACACACACACACACACACACACATCAACAACTGCAGCTGTGCATGTGGCTTGAGTGGTGTGAGCCAAGCTTACTGTGTTGAGTGTGAACTAACAATGGGACCCTTGTTGAGTTGTCATAGCTGGATTAGCATTAGCATTCCACCTCATAAGGACACAGTGTTAGCTGGCTTAATGACAACTGTACAGTATTATTCTCAAAGTCCAGTAAAAAATAAAATAAAACACACAACAGGAAAATGGGAACACTGTAAAGATTTACAAGGGGTGAAAGACCCAATAAGGGTCTATAAGGGGAGGCTTATATTTTGATTTGAACTGAAACTAAAATATAGTTTATATTGATTGTGTGTATGGAGCAAACAGAAATATATAAACACATCATCAAGGCTGCACTGAGCATTGTCCTAAACCAACTTAAACACCAAATGGGACTTTCATACCAAACATTTGCTTAGCATCAGTTTCATCCCTCCTGGATCTTTGCTAGACTATAAAATCAGTTTTTTAATTCAAACTTAGCTTAGCATAGGGTTCCTCTTTTAGATTATGAGTATTATTGATAGCTTGGTCCCTTACCATCAAGCTGTCATTCCAGCAGCAGCTACATTTCCCCAGAGTGATGAAGACCACAGCTGGAATCAGCATCTGGAAGCACAGAAAATAATATTGCTCAAGACATTTTTTGTTGTTGTTGTTTTAAGGAAATGACCACACACTGAAACTTTTATCATAATAAAATCACAATAGTAAATATACAATGCTAAAGTTAAATGTATCATATTTTACTATAAGGAAAGATTATTGATCCTGCTTCTCTTTGCTGGCAGTTCCTGGGAGCATTATGCTTCCAAAGTAATACCAGCACCTGTACCTGTCACTGTCAAGTCAAATCATGTTAAATCATGTCAAATGTATTTATTTATTGTTGAAATCAGTATATGGATACTAACTAAAACACCAATAACCTATAGCCTGTAGTGACACAAGCAACACGAAGCTTTAAAGCTCATTAGACTCAAATGCTGGATGGATTAAAACAGAAAAAACAACTTTGCTATTAGAGATTTACCACGAGTCCGGCACAAAATGTAAACTTTGGCCTGAGGGTGTTGTCAGTATAAAAGCCTTGTTATCTTTATTCTCTATATGGCGGACATTTTAGGACATTTTAGGACATGTGTGATTTGGCTCAACCTTCAGCAGTCACATTGTGTCTTTTGTCTTTGCTCTCACTAACACTTGCTACATAAAAAGGCTGGGGATCACCAAGGTCATTAGGATTCATGCTCTTGGGACCATATTTAAGTCAGGACATGGCATATTGATAGAAATATCCATCATAAATCATATTTAATCTGCTCCTTAAGTCCTGAAAAAGTGTCCACATACTGTACTGTATGCCAAATGCTTAAGTACAGTGTAGTTGTGTGGAGGGCCTATAACTGCTGGCAGTCCTATATCTGTTTGTTTCAGGGTTCTCTCTCTTTTACTATCTCTCCCTCCCCTTTTCCTCTCCTCCTTCCTGTGCTGTTGTCTCTCTCCCAGCAATCAAGGACTTTAAATTAGATCCTAACAGAGGGAGGGAAGTTCCCAAGGTTTTACACACACACACACACACGTACACACACGTACACACACGTACACAAAGATCATAGGCATCGTTACGTACACATCCTGGATGTCCCCCTTAAAACGCTATCTTTTAGCAGAGTGAGAGACTGACAATACAGACGGAAGTGCACAGCGAGAAGGGAAAGGAGGAAAAAGGAGGGAGGAAGAGTGAGGGAGAGGAAGGGAGGGAGCTAAAGATAGATTTCTCTCAGAGGGGTTCAGTTTGCTCTTTGACTCTTTGGTGTGCCACAAAGAACGGAAACAACATAAAGAAAAAAACATGGATGAAAATCACAGTCTCATGTTGTTCTACGTGCTTGCTTGCTAATAGCTCTTTCTCCTATTAGCAGATGCAATAGACGAGTACAGACTAATCCAAATACAGATTAACTTCTGTGTATTCCTGGAAAATGAGCAAGGCCTTTTATTTATCTCAGCTGAAGTAAGATCCAGGCCATTATGTGAGACAGGCTCTTATTAAAGGCCTGTATTTCTAAATGCCCCTGATTTAAAGGTATCATCATGTCTTCATCCATAGTTCACATGGGACACAATCCCCTCACTTTTATTGTGAAACATCAGCAGGAAGTGTCATTTCGAGGATGTGACAGGAACATTTCAAGGCTCTGACTTCGTTCTCTCTCATAACTCAACTCTGACCATTGTTCTGCGTTCTTTTGAAATGTTTGGTCTCCCATTTCATAACCTCTATAAATAAAGTTTTCTAACAATGACACACTTACACTAAGATGTTGAAAACCTGTTGTACTTTTAGCTTGTTTTGACAGCTTTACGTTAAACTTCTGCAGAAATTAATGATTAAATTGTCCTTCTTCTTTACAAGAAAGTCAAATATGAGCAGCTGAGACACGCCTTCTTTTAAATGGTCAGAAACACACTATTAACCTACAGTTGTAGTGGAAAAGGACACATGTTTGGTTGTGTATAATACTTTTTAATGTACCATTTCCTTTGCAGAGTCTGTGTAGATTATGGTATCTATTTCAGTTATGTGCTAAAATGTCCTGAGCAGTGTTTTCCTCTCAGCTGCACTGACTGCAAACAAACTACAAAATAAAATCTAAATATTTTAGAGACCGAAGCTTTATTTATCCAACACAAGTGTTCTGCTGGTCAACAAGGTTAATCTTGTCTGGGGAAATACAATCTCTCCTCTGTTCCTCCTTAAAACCAAACTAAAAGAACAGCTCCTTTCTGCTCAGTCGGAGCATAAACCCATCAGATCAGCAGCATGTAGAGCAGACGGATTAACTGTGAATTCACACAGCACTCCATTGTTCTCAATGAACAACTGCAAACACACTCAGACTGAATGGTGTTGAAGGGGAAACAAGTGACATTTAATAATCTTTTTGGTCTAAAATCATGTTTTTAGGAGTCAAAAGCGTATCCTACATACAGATATCAGTAAATCAAATGGATGAGAAAAGTAAGCCAAAAGCATAAATAAATTTGAATTAGCATCAGCTGTATATAATAAACACAAACTCAAGGGGGAAAAGGGCTTCAGTCTACATAATAGCACACACTGTATCTACATGTACCAGCGTCTACCACTGAATAAGGGAGGAAGGGAGGTGATACCCAGTAAATGTTGCTTTAAAAGTAACTCTCAGTGGAGAGTGTTAGTGTCATGTGCCTCGAATAAGGTCAAAGATCTCATTCATTTTAGTTAGAATGAGAAAAAATGTCTTAGATGCAGCGGTAAAAACAATTATTCGCTTTGGTTCCAGATGAAAAGAGAATCTCAGAACTTTTAGTTTCAGTTAATTTCTCTCTGAGTTCCCCCCACGTGTTAGCAGTGACCCCAGTTAAACCTACATCCACATTGTTTTATCCTCCTCTGCCAGGCAAAATAATCCAATCAGATTATTTAGCTGGAAAGATGCTGCCACGTTTACCACAAAAACATTGCCCCTCTTGTTACCAAAACTTCTTCAAAAGTTTATTTTGTCATAAGCAAAGTCAAAGATGGAATACTTTTATATAGAATAAGACAAATTCCATATTATATAACATGATGAAATATATGTAGAAGCTTTAGTCCGATTCAACGCCCATGTGACTCTTTACCTTCTGAAGTCACAGATTTTAACCGTATTCTCAAATTTTTGTGAATTTTCAACACCTGTAACATGTAGAAATACAGATTTTAAACTTTGAGTAAATATAACACTTAAATCTCTGTCAAACCCCTGGTCTCTACACCAGGCTCACACTTGTTTCAAATTTTGAATGATAAATCAGGATTTTGTCTAAAATTGTGTCTTGTACAAAGACATTTTTTTAAATTTATTGATTGGCATGAAAAAAAAACATATAAAATAAACTGATTGTGTTGGATTGTGTAAAGTTAAAGTTATTCCATGATACAGAAATTGAGATTTTTAAGAGAGGATAACCATAATAACTTGTTGTCTTTAGAAATCGACCAAATCTTAAAAATACTTTTATCAGAATATTTTGACTGTACCAAAATCTAGAAATATAACACAGGACTAACCACATGGCTTCATTATCTAATTAGATCAGAAGTGCAGTTTTTGACTCACCATCAGTCCCCCTCCTCCTAGTCCACCAAAGTACCAGATGTAGCTGGCCAGGCGGTCCTGCTGCATGTAGGTGATTTCTCCCATAGGAAACAGCAGCAGCAGGTTGGCCAGGATACAGCAGAGGGCCAGAGGCAGCAGGGCCAGGCCCAGAGACCTGGCAAAACCCACTGAACAACACATCGCTCACCCAAAAACACACTCACAACCACAGGGAGGAGAGCAGAGGACTGAAATGGACCAGGGAGAGCAGAGAAAGAGAGAAAGAGGGGAGGGAAGGGTCAGAGCAGCTGGGGAGCCAGGAAACCAAAACAAATGACGAGAGCTTATATGTGTGTGTGTGTGTGTGTGTGTGTGTGTGTGTGTGTGTGTGTGTGTAAGTGTGGAACAGATTCTCCTTCCTTACAGAGGGAGTTCTGCAATGACACAACTTGCGCCAGGAAGCCCACTCACACTCTCAGGAAGGGGGGCTGACCAACAGTGACACAGAGCTCAGCCAGAAAAATAAAAAAAATGTCTGTGTCAGTGTGTGTGAGTGTGTGTGTGTGTGTGAGAGTGTGTGTTTCCCACAGCCTCTTATCCAGGGCCTCATACAGCACTCTAAAGAATTAATTTCCCTCAGAATGACTGAGTCACTACAACAGCTCAACATAAAAATAATTAAATACATCATGTTTTCACACTAGTTTTTACACAATAGTATATTTATATACTGTACAAAACATAGTTTATCTCTACCAGGGCTATTATCAATTACTATTACTAGACTTAAAATAAAAAATAAAAATAGTATATCACAATTTCACAGTATCAATCCCAAATCTTAAAAATACCCTATTAATGTACAAGTGAAGTACAGAAGCAACAAGTTTGCAACAAAATGTCCTTAAAATACCAAAAGTAAAAGTACTTGTTATTCACCAGAAACACTAAGCAGTGTTACATTACTGGATTCTTATTAATGATGCAGTTGAGGTGATTCATCATATTTTATAAACTGATTTTTATCGTTTTTATATACTAAATCTAAAATCTGTGAAATTAACTAGAAGAAAAATAGCTGTCAGATAAATGTAGTGGAGTAATACATATTTCCCTCTGAACTAGAGTAGAGTATCAGTATGAAGTAGCTGAAAAAGGAAATACGTAATAATAAATAAGTACAACTGCCTTATAATTATACTAAAGTACAATACCTGAGTAAATGTTACAAGTTACTTTCCAATACTTGCAATAATATTGCTGAAGTATTACCTAGATGCTGATAAATCTTTCTGCACGTTAATGCGTTTAAGTGAAAACAGCATCCAAAATGTAAACCTTTCAGAAAAAAACTAGAAGATAACATATGCTGCACTGTATTAAAACTGGATAAAAGGATATACGACCAAAGATTTAAGAGTTTTTTTCAATCTTTTAAATATAATTTAAAAAATGGCAATAGTTCCCCAGATAGCAACACTGTAGATCAGTTTCACAAGAACCAATTCAATCCAAAATGTTTGATAGGCGCTCCCAAAGTGCCCATAAACAATAATCTTTCTAGGTCAGGATGACACAACAGTTCAGCAGATCTATGTAGGGCAATAGGGCGCAACATGATTCCTAATATTGCTGTGTCAGAAAGACAGAAAGACATATGTGTGTTTCGGGGGCCCGGCATGTTGTGAGCTGCTTCCTAATCCAGCTGGAATGCACCACATCCAGATAAACTGCGCTGTAAGCTGGAACTGGCCACTAACTACCCGCACCAACAATCTGTTTCAACCAGTGTTAATTAATTAAGGCAGATTACATAAAACAGAGTGTGTTTGGGTGACAGAACACATGGCTCTTTATAGGAGTAAACGGTTGGTACCAGGTGGTGTTTGGAGCTGTAAGGGGATCAACGATGGAACAAAGTCCAACATCATGTTTCTACATTGAGAGATTTGTGTTGAAGTAGAATCATGCTTGAGCTTCCTGCTCCAGGGTGCAAGTGGTTTCCAAGCTGTTTACCAACTTCAACATCCTTTTTCACACAACCCAAGCCGCTGCATGTAATTTATCCGGTCTGTCTGTCTCTGTATTTATCTTGTCTGTGTGGTACATTAAGGGGCAGCAGGGCGTTTCCTGACAGCTAAAAATTCACTACAAGATACAGCTCATATACATACACAATGGCAAAACACCCACTTCATCCAGCCTGCTTGAAAAGATGCAATACAATGGATGCAACATATGCAATGTACCTGGCACGTGCACAGTGTGCCCTCTTGGCTGAGGTAAATTGTTTTAGGATAAAAAAATAATATTATTAATCAATTAATATAATGAGGGAAAATGGGGCACTTCTGCAGGTTGGTGATTTTGAGGTCTAAACTAAACTGTCTGGGTGCCAGGTGGCAGGTGGGGTGGCACAGCTGGGAGTGTTTGCCATACATATCAGTGTCTCTGTGCAGTTTTGATCAGTCTGTGTTTTTGTACATAGGCAACTGGAAATTTGCGTGGATGCCATTAAATTGCATCCTTCCTGATTTTCCTTTCTGGAAGAAACCATTGGTCTAATGTGACTGAACTGGGTTAAACATCTGAACAATTAATTGTAGGTTGGGTGAGTGCCCCTTCTTTGCTTGAGCCAAAATTATACTACATGTCCCTGCCATACCATATCATGATCATATGTCCTAAGAGTTGTGCCAGTGGAGAAGGCCATGTGGTCATCAAAACACCTGTCGAGTGGGAACCAATATTTGGAGCATAAATCAGCTCTTCATCAGGTAAAGAAGAATCTGTTGAGGATTATGAGCCCATGAACAGAGAACTATGAGAAGCATCACTTGAAAATAAATTACATTTATTTGTCATTCATAAAAATGTAGAAAATCACGAATAGCATCCAGCATATTTCAGAGATAATTTGATATACAGACTGTTTCCTTGATTCCTTAAATCTCTTTGTTTCCAACAACAGCAGAAAATATACTTGAATGGAGATATAACACTGATTTACATTCCTAAAATATCTGAACTCAATTTGTTTTGTAAAATATCGACCAGAATAAAGAAGCAATTATCATTTATTGAGGAAGTAGGGTATATATACAGTATTTAATGATATTGTTGTCGCTTCTAACAAACCCCAGATAAACAGAAACTAATTAAAGTGACTGAAACCAATAATTATCTCAACCCAAAGATTTGAGGAAGGGCATCTTTGGTATGTAATGTAGTGGTACACAAGATTTGTTTTCCTATTTGTTGTTGTACAAACAAAATAGCACACTTAAAAAAGTAGCTTGAAATCAAGCGGATGTGGAGGGACATAAGGTGTACAGTTTAAATTCAAACATTTGCAGTTTTGGCTTTATAAAGGGATTCAACGTTCTGCTGCTTGTGTATCACATATTTCATACAGTAAAAGTGTGTGTGAACTGTAAACATACAATAGGAACATCTTTATGAAGGGGCAATGTGTTGCTATGACGCTGTGCTGTGACTGTTATAGAGTTGTTTTTACCTGTAAAAAAACAAATATTTATAGTACTTCTGCACTAAATCCCATATGAAGGAATTTGCTTTTGTGGTCAAATTATCTACAGAGAAGAGGAGAGGAGATGTATGTCTAGTATCCCTGAGCACATCCGTCCCCTCTGGGGTCTGATCCTGCCCACAGCACTCCCGATGGATGATCAGCTTGATTGACAGACGGGTTCCACCAATCCCCGACTGTGATGATCTGTCCCCGCCCAAACTGAGACCTCTTGTGGCCTGTGTGTTTGAATGAAAAGATCATTTAAAAAAAATAACTTAAGCCCATTAAACAGTCCCATCTTTCACCACTATTATGCACCATAATCCAAGATGTGTCATTGGCATGTTAAGATCATGAGATGAAAGTTTCTGGTTTGATGGTGCTAACAGACTGGTGTCCAGTTTGTGCCTAACAATAGTTATGAACTGTGTATCTGAGGGGATGAACATGGCAGTTAGGCAATAAGGAAGATACACGCAGTGATGAGCAGTTAGACATCTGGTTCCTTCAAGTCCACACACAGGTCGAAACATGCATATAAAAGCTCACAATGGCTTCTCTGGTTAGATTGAAAACAAGTTAGTTTTACTTTGTAGTTTTCTATAACTGAAACCGAGAAATAATATTATTAACATGAATTAATTCCAGGAATTCAGCATTCAGGTGCAACATGTCGTCCATCTATATCTCATTGCAGCATTCATTTTGAGATAAAATTACCAAGAGCATTGACAAGTATAAGCTTCTTCTTTTGTGTACAGCCCAGTAGTACATGATGTAAACATGAAGGGTGTGCCGGACTGGTCTTCCAGAATGAACAAAGGAAAAAGTTCAAACGTTCGAACTCTTCAGAAAAGCCAGTGACCGACACTAACTCACCCAGAATGATGCCAGGGTAGGGAAGAGGAACAAATAAAAACATCCTGTTTGCAACAGGAAGCCACATTGTTTATGGGAACTACGGCGTTATTCCACTGACATTTGTTTATGGCTGTTAATATACATCAATATAATGTAAAACATTAACTTTTGAGTAGGCTACATGTACCACTTATTTATTATGTGATCAGTGAAACAAATGAAAAGCATGAAACACGGCAGTTTCAGAGAGATCTTGTTGGCTCTTTTTGTTGGTTTTATGTTTATATTTTATGAATGAATGAATGAATGAATGAGAGAATGGTCTATACATCGTACTTATCCTGTAAATAAATACAATGCATCCACTGCAAACAGTAATTACATAAAAATATACCTGTGATAGGCCAGTTGACTTTGTGACCCCGTCTTCTCAGCTCCTCGGCTACCTCCTGGTCGACCCCCTCCTCCAGATTAACCAACCACTGATCAGCTAGACAGAGTGTTTAATAAGAATATGATTTTAATTCCTTTACATGAGCATAGGACATAAGTCTGACACATACACACTGTCCTCTTTCACAAAATTCCCATAATTTTCATCTTGTATACAAATTAAGTTACAGTTTACAATGTCATATAACAGTAGAGAGAGTGGAATTCATCCGACCACCATCCTACCATATGAGGAGGTACAGAGCTACACAAATGAGAACTTTGGGATTTAATTAAAGCATAAATATTTGATGGATGTTTGAATGTAAATAATGTTTATACTAACACATTGCTTTCTGTATGTGACTATACAGAATCTGTGTGTCTGTGTGTTGGTGAGGGCTGGGCATACTTTTGTGGTCATACTGTACATAAACTCTTGGTGCGTCCAGAGCTTGTTGAGGATTCATCCCAAACTCCAACATGTTCAGCAACACCTAAACACAAGAGCAACATTAGTTAATGATTCAGTAACACATTGCACTCATGAAACTGAACCATATTTAAAGCCGGGTATGTTTCAGCCATTCTGTTCTTCCATAAAATAACCAACAGCATCTTATTTACGAACAGATAAATCAAAAGTTAATGTTAAAAAACAAAAGAGAGATAAAATAAATAAAATAATAAATACATAAAATAAAAGGGACATGAAGTTTTTTGTACTTCATACTCAGTCTAGTCTTGATCACACAGTACCTGGACATGTCCTTGCGGTTGCATAAAAGCCCCCATCACCCCCAGTGCAGCGAGGAGTCGGGGTTTTTGTGATTTGGCTGCGGTGTCTGTGAGAAGTGCAGGTATTATGGTGTGATATGGCCGCTTCCCCCCAGCAACACAGTTAACGTGATTACGACGCAGTGAAAAGCTGGCACCACGATTCTGTGAGAGGGAAAATTCATAAGAGATTTCATAAAATACAACATAATGATACCAGAAATTTACCCTTTCAGTCTCCTCATTCATGTTTTTTTGTGAAAGCAGTCTGGAAACTCTACTTTTGCAGTGGAAATGAAGGCCAATGCATACGATCATGTTGCTACAGCATGTATAGGTATAGGACAATTTAGAGGAAAAAGCCACACTAGACTCTGGAACTCCCTCCATTCCCCACAGGTGTTCAATTGCTTCACATCATTTTCATTCTCATCAAGCCATTCAATGACTCTTCGTGTCCTGTATGAAAGCATTTATCATTTTTCTCCACTCATTCATTCAGGTTTTTCCTTTAATATAATAACATTTCAATTAATTGTGCAGCCCTATTAGCACCAAATATATATTTACATAGTTACACACAAGCACAGGCAAACTATACATTCATGTCTCTGTAATGTAACATCGCCATGCAAAACACGATCATAAAATAGGAAAATGTACAACTTCACGCCTTCGTTACTGCTTGCTGTTTTACATATTCTATTCTACACACTACAGAGACTGCACTCAGTTTGTCATCAGATATTCCCACACTTACACTGCTCATCCAGTAAACGACTACTCTACTGTAATTATTTTTCTTCTATCCATTGGTGTTGCCATCCACAGTATGTCAGCTTTACATACTTATCACTACCTCACACGCACACAAACATGCACTTTCTCTCTGACCGCTCAGACCTGTAGTGAGAATCCACAATCCTTAGGGACCAGCCCACTTCCAAAGCCCATATAGGTGCTGTTGACAAACGAGCAGGCGTTGCCCTGACTGTCGATCACGCAGAAATAGACCGTGTCGCTTCCCGTCGTCAGGCCAGGCTCCACTTCTTCCATGGCCCTACAAATATATACAAACAATCATTAAAAACATGCACAAACCACAAACCATTATTGTTGTTGCTGTTTTTTCTTTGAGGTTATTAAAATGTATCATATCTGGAAAGGAGGATAAACCCGTGTGGCCAAAGAACAAACAAACAACAGCAAGTAAATAATAGACAAGATAAAATACATACAAGGGTTTCAGTGACTTAAACCACTTTTCTTGGCACATTTTGGATCTGTTTGAAAAATAAAACTCATAAGCTTGGATATCTTCAGGTCAATAGTTCGTCATTTTGAGGAAATACGCTTTATGTTTCGATAAGAAGATCAATACCACTAGTCTGTATGGTAAATATAACGTTATGGCCAACAGCCAGTTAGCTTATCTTGACATAAAAACTGGAAGCACAGGGAAACTGCAAAACCACAACTTATCTTTTTTACACTTTGGTTTGTGTACAAATTTAAATAAACAAGATATTACATGTTAATTAGTAATTCAGAGGTACTGGTAGGTGGACTTTTGAACAGAGCCAGGCTACCTGTTTACCTACATGCTACATATTTTAGCACACAAGAGTTATATCAAGCTTACCATCTAACCCTCACCCCAAAAAACAAATGAGCACATTAGCATATATAGTTTTTCCTTTTCCAAGTACAACAAAAATGAGTATTCCTATTTTCCTATATTCCTAAGTATTCCTTTGAATTTTGAAATGCACTGACATATAAAAAATGAAGCAAAGCTGGTAACTACTACTTTATAAATATAATATTTGTATCAAATATAAGAAAATAAAGGTTTTAAGTAGAAGCACAAGGCCCCAACTGCAAACTTTGCGCATTGGAAGCACTAACAGTCACTTCGATAATCTTGCACTGTCCTCTCACAGCACTGTCAGAAGCTCTTCAGGCCGTAGCGTCATATATCACTAATAAACCAGATGCCAGCCTTGGTTTAAAAATATCCTTGGGTGTTGGCTGACAAATATTGCATGTAAACAGGTTTTATTGTAACCAGGTTATGGTAGTTCCTCAGATTTTTCCCAGTTACCTGGTTTATTATTATCATGTGCATGTAAACATAATGACTGTGACGACACTTTTAATAAGACAACAATTTTCTTACCTGTGTTTTATTATAGGTGTTGGTTGCTAAGAGACACTAAGTCCCAGTTCACATTTAATTTAAGTGATGGTTGAATCATTAAGGTTGAGTTAGGTGGCCCTGAATGGACAGTGCAGTGCCACGACTTCATACATTTCAATATAAACAATAAATAATAAAATATAAGAATATAACAAAACAGCAACAACAGCAGGATTTAGTACCACATAAAATACATGTGTACACACTATCATTATGTTGTTTTATACTTTTATAGTCTGTTTGCCTATTTGTCTTACAGCTGATAAAGAGCTAAAGTTCAAAGTCTACAGTACTAACCAGTAAATACACATAGTTGCCAAAAAAATACACCCATACATGTACCCACACACACACACACACACACACACACACATCAGACAGAGCAGTGGAGGAGGGACCGTAGCATTAAGGGATGGGATGTTAAGGTCGGGGGGAAGTAAAAGTCTACAGTCTTATCTAAAATCAACAGAACACGACTGGTACACACTGGTACGAACACACACACACACACACACACACACACACACACACACACACACACACACACACACACACACACACACACACACACACACCTGTCCATGCTGATGCGCTGCGCTCGCTGGTTGCTGTAACTCTTGTCCAGTAAGGTTTCCAGAGGGATGGTCACATGGTCTGGGTCGCCCAGGTAACGCAGAGCGTCTGTTACTGCCAAGCGCACAGCCTCCACCAGTACATGGATGTAGTCAGAGCTGTTGTGACCCACAGCTACGCACACACACACACACACACACACACACACACACACACACACACACATAAATAAATATAAAAACATTATGATGACGTGATACATACTGTACACTCAACCCCGAGATCAGTTTTCAGTCAGTTGTACTAGTACTACTGTACTAACACTTATTAAATTGTGAGGTGTCTTTGTCAAAGATGAATCAGACAGGGGTGAGACGTCTATTGATTCATGACGTGTATGTGCAGAGAGTGAGTCAACTGTCACTGGGTAGTTGTTCTGAGTCAAAATTCCAGAGCTGTCCTTGTTTCTGATGGAGAAGTCAATTATATTTGCCATTATATCAACAATAATGAGAGTTGTCTGACTCAATTGGCCTTTTTTCACATGTTGCAGTAGAAAAAGCACAGGTACAGTTTCAGTGTCTTAGTATTGCGCACGCTGACTCACTGTCACACTGTCATGGCTCACGGAGGATACTTCATGAGCCGTAATTCATGTTTGTAGTAACATCTGTGCTTTTCCTACCATGATGACTCAAAATGTCAGTGGTCACTTCACAACTACACACTTACCATAGTAGCCAAAATGTCTGCTGCCACCCAAACAGAATGAGGGTGAAAGGAATTTTGCTTGTGGTGGTCAAAAGGTTATAAAATTGCATCTGAAAACCTCAACAGCTTTATATAATCCACAGACTGTGAACAGTATTCACTGCAACCACTTTCTGAAATAGTCTTTCAAAATATGAGCCTTATTTTTTCAAAGACATTTTGACTCATCCACATCACCAGACTAATAGCGTAATTTTAATAATAATTTTAAAAAGCAGCTGAAGACCCATTTTTTCTTATTGGTCTTTGTCTATATCTAAAATCTTTACTGTTTATCTGGTTTTATTTTTAATATGTTTTCTCTTGTGAAGCACTTGATGAAGGTGCTACACTAAATAAACTTTATTATCATTAGTATTATTATTAGTAGTAGTAGTAGTAGTATTATCTATATATATACGTCGCTGCATATGCGGTATCGGCATTCCAGTGAATACCTTTGAGCGGGAAGTTCTCCAGGATGTTGAGTAGCAGCAGGGCAGCCAATCCCTGACTGTTAGGAGGAGGCTCCCACAGACGCACACCCTGAACACACAATGGAGTCATTCCCTCTGCAGACCATTATATTAAAAATACAGATATGGTCCCTGACCGCACCTTGTATTCTGTGCTTATGGGGGTGATGACCTCACTGTCATGGCTGCTGAGGTCATCAAGAGTCACAACTCCTCCATTTCGGTTGATGACATCGACGATGGCTTGGGCCACTCTGCCCTGGTAGAAAGCTGGTTTGCCACGCTCGCCCAGCTCCTGTCGATACATCAGTCCATCAATCAATCAATCAGTTTGTTCTCTTTGCATCCTGCCGTCCATCTACGTGTTTTAACTCCAGAAAGACGTTAAAAATATGATGTTTTATATGTTCTAATGCCACACATGTGTCAAGTTTGAAAGATATGCGGGTGATGTGTCCATTATTGTGTATGAATACCAGTCCAATCAATGTTATCAAATGAACAAGATGGTGTGTTTGAATGTGTGATTTTTCACCACACGGAAGTTACACACACCGTCATCGCTGAAGAATGACCGTTATGATGCCATGGAAACCATCCATCAATGAGGTTGAGGTCACTGCTATTGTTTCTGCTATTTCAGTGTGTGTGTGTGTGTGTGTGTGTGTGTGTGTGTGTGTGTGTGTGTGTACTTGGCAGTGTTCCTGCATTATTGAATTACTAAAGACTGAGTGTTTGATGTAGTAATACAGAAGAGAGTCAATCAATGCATGCTTTAATGGTGACACAGAGGCAGACACACACACACACACACACACACACACACACACGGTGGGGTCAGCTGCCTCTAGTGCAGTCTCACTGACAGGAAACTACAGAATGAGTGTGGTTTTATGAATATCACATTGTCTACAAACACCCACCCACACAAAAATGTGCCACCTGACTTAAAATGATTAAAGTGAAGAGCTGTATCACAACGTTTAAATTATGTATGAAAAAATATTGCAAAGCACTTTGATAAAAACGTAAAAATATTATTTTTTTTGCTATGATTCTTTAAACTCAGAAGCAAGCAAAAAATAAAAAGATAGGTACACATTTTCTCAATATTCATGTTAATTTGTTAATTACTTGCTGACGTCAACATCCTGATATGCTCACAGCAACAACGTTAACACGCTGATGCTAAGAAGGTTTAATGTTTACCACGTTCACCATCTTAGTTTGGCAAGTCAGCACTAAACACAAGCACGAAAAAAAAGAAATTAAAGATTCAACCTGCTGATGGTGACAATTCATTTAACATAACAAAATGTTGTGGTAATCCATCCAATAGATATATCAACCTGGACCAATGTCCCTAGAGCCATGCTGTTAAACATCAGACCCTAAAGTCCTGTGGTTAAAAAATGGCTTCTTATGGTGGAAAGTTTTTTTATGGTAGGGAAATGTGTAAAAAAAAGTCCATAAAAAACACTTTTATTTGTTCTTTTTGGTACACTCTAATATTACAGAGAAGAGGATTTGTGCCGCAGAAGTGGTCTGGAGATGTTTTGCTACTTTTACAACTATGAGATCTGAATAAACTGTAACCAAACTCTATTTTGATGGTCAGGTATACAGGCTGACTGACCTTGTGACGCACACACACACACACACACGTGCTGTGAAAACCAGCATGATTCAGTTTGATTTATTTCTGTTATATTGTGGATATAGATTGTTTTCTTCAGTTTTTTTTTTTACTTTTTCATATCTAATTCTTACAATACATTTATTTGTTTTTACCACATCCACCTCCTACTTCTCCCCATTCCCTCTTTTTCAACGTATACCTCCTTCTCTACCTTCATTTCTCCTATTTAATTGTCTTTGCCCACCCCTGCACTATCTATATCCCTCCCTCCCTCTGTCTACCTTGTTTTCCTTCCATACTGAGTCCAACAAACTAATGGGCTCAGGGTTATTTACCCACTATGCCCCTGGGTTCATCCAAGGTCTTCCCATATAGAAGGCTATGTCAAGTTTAGAAAAAGCAAACAACCTCTGGGAGGACATGGAACCAGCACAGTGGTTTCTCTGGGGTCCTACATTGTTCTGTTTCCTTTTTGTCTAAACAGCACCAGTTCAGACAAAACTGACCCAGTGCTCCTCACACAACCTATGAACGTTCGTTTTGTGTGTGTGTGTGTGTGTTTTAGTTTTACAGATTTACCTTCAGTGTCCGGGCCAGGGCAGGGTTTCTGAATACTTGTCCACATTTGGGTGCACGACCATCAATTAGCAGGTCTCCACCTAGTTCCTTCCCAGCGTCTCTCAGAGCAGCCACCCAGTTCGCCCAGTGGTGAGCTGTTACCTCAGCAACAGGAAACCCCACCTCTGCGAGCTCCGCCGCCCCACTCAGCACCTCCTGCAAGGACAGCTGGGGAAATGGGGAGAGGAAACCCATGCTTATTACTTCACAGGGAAACCTCACTAAGCAGGAAGTGTGAGTCATTGTTTTAAGATGAAATATGTGGAAACTGCTTTATATTTTCCTCTGAGGGGTTTCCAGACTTTTTTGTTTTGTAATCAATCTGTGTGAATGAAATTATACTTCTGGAGATGGATGAATGTGCCAAAATATGATATAATATTCACTCCTCACTTCTACTTTAGTTAATCGTTAATTACATTTTGCACACTTTCTGACAGTAGTGAACATTTATTGTTCCTTTATTTATATTTGAGTTTTTGTGAAATAGTGTAGTAATAGTATTTTAAACAGAGAAAACAGGAGTAATACTGTCATCAAAACATTTCTACTGAGTTTGCTCCATTCAGATCAGCTGATTCTAGTTTTTGTGACTAACTACTTTTGCTGATTTCCCCCTGTATAACTGTTAAATGCTTGTTGAGGAATGTGAGTGAGGAAAGAAACTTTTTTCTGATTTAGAGGGACTGACACCGGAGCTGCAACTGCTCATGCTTTAGATAACTTAACAAGTCTAATCCAACTTTAATTGTAGCTGTACTGATATTAGCACATTAACCAAATTTTACCTTACATTTGGGAATTAAACAATTACAAATGTCCAACAGTAAAGCCTCTGAGACATTAAAAGCACAGATTCACACTGAATGACTCACTTTTAGCTTTTATAGGTTAAAATTTGTTTACGATTTTAAAACTTTTTGCATTTATAAATGCCACAGTGCCCTATATTTTAAATTCCTGCCCACACCTTCACAGACCCATAAAAGGACTACCATAGATGGCAAAGTTACTGCTGAATATCCACAGAGCCCAATGATAGTTTGTCCCCTCCTTGTTTATATCCTCCTGATTCACCTTCAACGCCACTGTTTAGAACAAGCACAGGAGTCAAGAGCCCTACTTCCAGGTTTGTTTGTGGTGTGCCGGCAGTGTCGGTTTGCAGTGTTTATGTTGTGGGTTGTTTACACCATGTAAATGATTATGTTAGACATTAAGCACATACAAACATACACACGAAACACACACAGAGTCAAACCTTGTGACTACCAAACAGCTGTATGGCGTCACACCAGCATGCAGGGGCCCCCGGTACTGTGATATTCAAGGCATCAAAGGGCGGAGGAGGGGCCTCTGCAGTGTAACCACGACCCTCCAGGAAGTCCAGGGTCTGAGCTTTTGGTGAACGACCACTGAGGAGCGAGGACACAGAGAGAGGCTCAGCTAATCATTCTGTAGTCTGAGGACAACAACAACAACTCCAGTGAGGCAGAAAGAGTCTCCACCTGCCGTTAAGTCCTCGGATCTCTCCAGTGTCTCCGTTGTAGAACAAGCAGAAGGCGTCTCCACCAGGACCGGTGCTGCACGGCTCTGTTACCGCCAGTGCCGCTGCTATGGCGACAGCAGCATCAGCCGCATTCCCACCACGCTTCAAGATGTCTGGAGATAAACAGATATTCACATGTGTGTGATTTAATGTGATTAACTCACAGTAGCCAAAGTATGGTTTGGCTGAATTTATGCCACATTTGGGTGCCTTACATGTGGAGTCATTTTCCATAGCTTATTATTGTTCCTTAGATTTACAAATGTGCTTTTCCCACCTTTCATCCCACAACTGATTCTCATAAAAATGTTCCAGTGGTATTTATCCGTGCAAAGACCTTTGGTTTTATTTTGAAACTTTTTGCCTCTGCTCCAAATGTTCAATATTCCAACTGAATTCCTTTAATCACCATTTCAATTCAATTCAGTTCAAATGGGCTTTACTGGCATGGAAAACAGACGTGTAAAATATATGTATATACAGATTACATGTGTGACTTGACTCTTATACCCACCCTGTATATACAGTATGTATTACATTAATGCACTCCCGTCTTCTGCACAGTTTTCTCTCTATCTTTATTTATTTATATTTTGAAAGTACTTTATTTTCCTGTGTGATTTTTGTGTGATTTGTATATTTATTTGTACATTTTATGCACCAATTGCACCAGGACTTTAAAATTAAGTAGGAAAAATAGATAATAAGTAATAAAGTAATAAAAACTTTTTTGGTGTGTGTGTGTGTGTGTGTGTCCATTTCTATCTCTAATCTCAGTGATGTGTTTATGGTCCTCCAGTTTTCTCTTCGTGGCTGCTGTAATAGTTTGGTCACTAGTTCCTTAGCATTAAGTTAGCTTTATGAGTTGAGTAATAAATAAATAAATAAATAAATAACATTATTAAGTGAAAGAAACAAAGAAAACCGTGAAACTTTCTCGGGACTTTCTTAGATCTCCATGGCAACAGTTTTCCGCTCACCCAGTCCTACGCTTGAAGCTAACGGCTGGCTGGACGCCGCACAGCCGTGTAAACACACCACCGGAGACCGACGAGAGGAGAAAGTCAGGTCGGCATCCATCCCGTTTTAAGTTTTCAGCAACTGGTGGCAACGACAGGGCAGAAAATAAAAACGGGGCAACATTAAGCCGCATTGGACTTTTCCCTTTTGATCGGCGGCTCGGGCAGCGATTGAGTTAGGCTCAACTCGGACGGAAGCGGATGACAGATCGCATCGATGGATGAGAAATTGATGTTAAACCTACATTTGACTTGTTCTGTTAGTTTTTTAAAATTTATTTTTAGGCCATTATCAGGCTGTAAATAATGCAAAAGGATAATGAAAGGATAAGCTACTGTATTGTTTATATTTTTCATTCACAACCACTGTCAGAGATGTGGATCTGGAACCAAGATGACACCTTAAAGATGCTCTAATGGGGGCAAACATTTAAAGAACCACCATCAGTCCCTAAATCTAAACTCAAAGATAGAATAAAACAATCCATTAACCTCTGTAAGTTTATTTTTTGTCCTGTGAAATTATATTTATGTCTACATCTCCTGCTGTGACGTGTGCACCGCTCCACATCAGTCACATCTGTATTTTTATATTTATATTTATTTGTCTGTAATGTAGATTTTCTTATCTAATGCGTTGTGCTGTAACTGGAGCTGCTGAAACAAGTGAATTTCCCCAGTGGTGTATCAATAAAGTCTATTTTATCTTATCTTAGGAGAAATAAGTTAAGTACAAAAAGTTAACTCACACAAACTTTTAGTTTTCTTTCTTTCTTTTTTTTTAAAGTTCTAGTTCGCCCCCCAGTTGAGATAGCCTATACTTATAGATATAGTTCAAATTAGATTTAATGTATTCATAAAAGAGGCACAAAAACAAGCAAAACATAACATACAAAGGAAAAGGCAGTAGAAGCTGTTTACGTTGGACTTACTAATAAAGAATCTCCTCCCAGACAGTATAGAGAAATGGATCGACAGATTAATGACTCATTTGGGTGTATGTGTTTAACTTTTTTGCCACACAAAGAGCAAATAAAATTACTTTTAAAAATGAATGATTTTATGACAGATTCTTTGATTTTTTTAATCAATATTTACACAAGCTTACAGGACATACATCTATTAAAAGACACATTTATGGTCAGGTTGTTTTTTATTAATCTGATAAATGAAGACATTACCCACAATCATTATTTTCCACTCTCAGACTTCTCACATCTGTTAGGCTTTAACACATGATGAAACATTATATATTTTAATTCACCCAGAGCTGAACTGCACATTAGACAGTCCTAATGTGGAAGTATAACTCACTAAACCAGTGGTAGGTGCAGATCAGCCATGAGGGCCTATCGACCAACTGTCTGTCACTTCCTCTTCTGTCTCCATGTACACAAAACACATGGTAGAACATTAACCAGTGTCTTCATTGGTGTGCACACACAGGCATATGTAATCCTGCATTAATGGCTCTGTGTGTGTGTGTGTGTGTTTGCATGCAGTCACAAGTGTGTGCATGTGTGTTTGTGTGTGTGCTCCTGCCATGTTATAACTGGTTGCAGTAAAAGTGAAGCAGTGACTCAGAGAGACAGGCAGGGTGGGGTGGGGGGTATAAAGGCTCTACTGTAACCTCAACCATCCTAAGAAACAGGACAGGTGAGGCGGACAGGCTCATTCAGGAGATTCAGTAGAGTGGACAGAGCTTTTTTGAAGAAACAGCTTAAGAGGTAGCTTAACAGGTGTAAGGAGAAATTGTCAGGAGGTGTTGGGAAGCTACAGTTGGAGATAAATATAAAGCCAACAGGTGGAGTGTTATTCTCACCTAATCGACGTGGAGCGGACAAAGACTGGACCAGATTTAAGTCTAAACTCAGACATCCTTGCTTTTGTCAGTTTTGATATCATTCAACTTGAAAGATCAATCTAATTGGAGGTTTTGAAGCCCACAAGATACTTTTAAAACCCAAGGAGTTGTTACTAGTAGAGAAGGTTGAAACATCAGTGTCAGAATGTGTTCAGGCGGCTTTGCCAAGTGTCTGGGGATCAGTCTGATGCCTCTGGCGATTGTGTGTGTGCTGTGTAACATCCTGCTGTTCTTCCCGGGTGGACAGTCCGTGGAGAGTGAACACATCACAGAGCAAGTCTGGTACTTTGGAGGCATCCTGGGATCTGGAGTGCTGGTGAGTACGTTAAAATTACAACACTGACAGTGATAGCTGGTAAAATGCACTCTGCCACTATCAGCTCATATTTATCTAGTAGAAGATGCACACTGCGCAATATCTGCTGCTTTTCATCACCATTACTGAAGACAGCTTTTATGGATTATTCTGATGTTATAGTTTCTCAAATTTTATATGTTGCCACTGTAGAACATGATATGTAGGGCATTTTGGCATCAAAATGTCAGAAAATAGCAAAACAATCCAAAGGTAATGTCTTCAGATTGGTTGTTTTGCCTGAACAGTCCAAAACCTAAATATTCAGTACACTATCAGAAAAGATTTTCCCATTTAAGAAGCTGTAATTGAGGAAATGTTAGCGTTTTTGCCTGATATTAATTATATTATATATAATTAATTAATCAATAATTGTTTCAGCTCTAAAATGTATACACACAATTGTGCATCACCTGAAGGAGGAATTAACCTTTTAGATCTTGTACGGTTGAGCTAGTTTACGTTCTAAATATCGGAACTACAACAAAACATTATCATAGAAATGCTTCTTAAAGGATATATGAATTAAGCCGTTGTGTTTAGAATTATAGATGTGATTTTAGCATCTTTTATATTATTCTCATGGAAAAATTTGTAACTCCTGATGAGAGTTGGTGCAGCTTTAACAAAAGGCCCTATTGAGGTACCCATTATATAATACCTTAATGATTATCGTGGGACATTAGGCAGTTCAATTTCCACTGCAAACAGAAGAGGAACAAATAATTAATCAAAATAATTAATCATCTGCTCAATTGTGTGTGTCACATTTGTTTGTGTGTGTTTGAACTTGGGGTGTGTTTGGGCGGCAGATGATCTTCCCAGCTCTGGTCTTCCTTGGTCTGAAGAACAATGACTGCTGCGGTTGCTGTGGCAACGAAAGCTGTGGGCGGAGATTTGCGGTGAGAAGATGTTTCACTGTTTAACTTGTCACCATAATGAAATAATTATTCATAGCTGTGGCTTTCAAAGGGTCAAAGGACAGGGACGTTAAAATGGGTCCCAAAGTGATTATGTAGAAACAAAAATCTAATGTTAGACACACAAGTATTTAGTTAGGCTCAATAAAACATTGAGGATTAGAAGTTAATATAAACAAGATGGTTTAAAGGCTTAACAACTGTTGCATGCACAATACCAAGACGCTGAAACTGAAGCAGATTAATGGTACTCAGCCATCTTTCATTTTATTATGTACACATGTGTTTTTCCTCCTGTAACATGTCAAAATGTCTTCAGTGAAAAAGGGCCTATTGAACCAGCTTGTTGCTCATGTAGATCAGGCTGTGTAGTGGTCATGTGACACCTAAAGACACCCAAGAGTGTCAGCCAGAGACCAACATCTGTGCAGAAGAACTTGCATTTTCCCCAAATGTGTTGCGTAAACACCTTTAATTGGAGTGAAAACTGGATATTTACCACCTAAAACATATTGCGAATGGCAGTTTGGTACTTTTTTTAAGTCCTTGCAATTAATTAGTGTTTTACTTGAATAATAAAAAAAAGAAAAAGAGGGTGGAGTGAGTAATAAAATATAAATTATACATAAGAATTTAATTTTACGGTTTGTTTTTCTTTTTTATTACTGTGAAGGATTTTTTGATTTTGTCCACATTTTTTGTCTTTATATTATTATATATTAAGTATTATTAAGTTACTTTATTAAGTATATACTGAGCTTCAATTGTGAAAAACACAACTTTTCTATTCTATTCCTTCTTAGTTTTTTCTGCTGGGGTAAAAATAATATTTTTTTAAATGACGAGGCTTATGAGTAGCCTAACAAAGAATAAATAAATAAAACACAGAGAATCGGACATTAAAACGGCAGTAACTTTTAAATAAAAATGATTCTGAAAATGAAATTAAGTCTCATCCCACCTCAACCAAAGGTTCTACTGTATGTCACCAGTCTAAAGTCTAATCACTCTGAGCATATAAAACAAACTCAATGATACTATGTACACACCTTCTATAATTTACACAGCAATAAATGCCAAAAACACACACACAGAGACAAATTGATGAGATTTCGATCACTGTAACAAGAAATTCCTCCGATGGGAGTTTCACATGACTTTATGACACAGAGCCCGTATTGTTCTGGTCCAGACACACATACTGATCGATACTTCAGGAATGTGTAGGTGTGTGTGTGTGTGTGTGTGTGTGGAGGTCCAGCAAAGAATCAGCAAACAAAAGTCTGTCAGATTACAGAACACACACACACACACACACACACACACACACACACACACACACACACATCATCATCATCATCATCTCAGTAGCTCTGTGTTGGTCGTGCTCTGACCCTCTGCCAGTCCTCTGCACACTGAGAGAATAACTTCATTGTTGTCAAGTTCAAAGCAAGATTGTTAAAGGTATTGATTGCCAATAAGAGTAACTGTTCTCTCCTCTCTCTCTCTCTCTCTCTCTCTCTCTCTCTCTCTCTCTCTCTCTCTCTCTCTTTAGATGCTGAGTTCCATACTGTTTGCAGCTGTGGGGGTTCTGGGGGCCGGTTATTCAGTTATAGTTTCTGCTGTGGCCATAAATCACGGACCTCGGTGTGTGACTGGTTTTAACAGCACAGAAAAGTTGTGGACCACTCCCTTCTCAAATGGGTGAGACACAGCTATATTAAGTATTGAAACACATCCTAAATGACCTGCTTGATCACCAATGCAAAGATGTACGGGGAATATAGTTTCCTTCAGGGTCAGGGTTAGCTTTTTTTTTTTTTGCATTTTCAGTAGCTTAGAAATAAATGCATTTATTTTTTCATTTGGATTTTACTTTACTTAATTAGTTTTTATTTAAGGAATAGTTTTTTCCTTTGTGGGAAATATGCTTATTTGCTGTATTAAGAGGGGTACAGCCAGCCTGGCTCTGTCTAAAGTTAAAAAAAATATGCTTAAGTCACTCCTAGGCAAGAAACAATCAGGCACATAACCCCTTGTATAACCCCAAAATGATATCTTCACTTCATTTCTGTTTTTGTACGGATTAAACAAATACAGATATAGAGATTTAATGTTTTAATTAGTGAGCTTTAAATGTACTTGGTGGTGTATTTTTCAGCTTTAAACATTGCCACACTGTTTCCCCCTGCTTCAAGTCTTTATGGTCAACTAAACTAAGCTAATCGACTCTGCAAAAAAGTGAACAAGCATCTCTTCTGAAAGGTGCAGTGTGCAACATTTCCGGAGGATCTATTGGCAGATATGGTTTATAATATTCATAGGTATATTTTCATTAGTCTATAATCACCTGAATATAGGAATCGTTGTTGTTTTGTTACCTTAGAATGAGCCGTTTATATATACAGAGGGAACAGGTCATCTTCTATTGAGTCCGACATGTTGAACCGCCATGTTTCCACAGTAGCCAACCACTAACTACTATTTCCAAGGTTAAGAAAATGTCACACTACATATTTTTGTCTATTCGGCCAAATTGAAGAAGAGGCAGAAATCTTTTTTTTTTTTTGTAATTTATGTGAACCAACCCTCTAAACTGGGCATTTTAACATCCCTTGACTGCATTGTAGCTCATGTTAAGATGTTTTATTGGTGCTACCTTTGCTGCACAGTGACTGTAAACCATGTGTGCTCACTCATTATGAACCTGCATATCACCTCGTCTCTTTTTCACCCTCCTTTTCCAGTGACTACCTGTCCAACACATCTAGCTGGACCGTTTGTAAAGAGCCCACCAACATTGTGTCCTGGCATCTCGGTCTGTTCTCTACGCTGCTGGTCATGGGTTTAATCCAGATGGCACTGTGTGGTGTGCAGGTGGTGAACGGCCTGCTGGGAGCTCTGTGTGGGGACTGCTGTGGCTGCTGTGGAGGGGTCAGTATAGTCTGAGATGAGTTCACTTTAGTCTGTTTATGAAAATAATTGAATACATTTAAAGGCAAATCTAAATCTAGCCACATTTCTGATACTATATTATTATAAACATTATTAATTATAATGTTATACTTGTTCATTATTTATTTAAGTATCTGTAAAACTGTAGCAGTAGTCCATTGAGTTACCTAAAAGTACTACAATCACAGACACACAAACAAAAAAAAAGATATTGCTGGGAGATAATAGATTGTTTTATTATTGTGGCACATTTTTTTCTGCTGGCTTCTTTGCCAGAAATAAATACTTTGATTCATATCATATTTTATCTGGTTCAATTAAGGAAAAAAAAGAAGAAGACTCTGATCAAACAAAAGAGAAATATAAGGGAATATTAATATGAAAGATAAAACACATGATGTAGGTTTGACAAGAAGCTTTAAAAAACAAACCAAAATACTTTCTAAGAATTAAAATCTAATTAATATACTATATTTTGCCTATTTAATTCCAGATAACAGGGATCCAGTGAATTATGTAAACAGAGGATTCCATGTTCAGAGTAAAACACATGTTGATAATATTTGTCTTTCAGAGCAATGACGCCGCCTGAGCACTTCCTGCGAGAGTCTGAAGATGGCTGTTCCCTGTATTTATTCTGAGGATGACTGTTGCCTCTTCGCTTTATACCTTTGCGATACAAGCTCATTGATTACATTGTGTAATAACACTGGTGAAATGACAGAGCTGTAATTTTAAGGGTTTCCCATTTACTGTCTAGCAAACATAATAATATATAACTCCATATTCTCATTATTAAATATGTGTATCTGCTGCCATTGTTTGGCTCTATTTCCAACACTAACTACTGTAGTTAATTATTTTCCTCCTGCTATATTTTTGTATCTGTTTTTTTTTTTTTTTTTTCCACTTACCAGAGGTAGTGAGTAAATATCCTATTTTTGATATATGTATAAAAAGCAGATGGGTTGCTTTAAATATTGTTTTTGTTCTTATCCAGTGAGACTTAAATAAAAGTAGCAACCTCTTCATATAAGATATTTCTGTTGCAGGACTGCCCCCTGCTGGGCATTTTGGTGTTGTAAGCATGAGCCTGATGAGGGTGTACACCATCAATAAAACCTTACATCTTATATCTTGTTGTTGATGGTCATATGATATTCTTTTCAAATGACTCACTGTTGTAATTGTCACTGGGCTTTTTTAAAAACTTTTAAACACACTTACAGAACATAGACCTTCATTTGTCTGATGTGTTATTAGAGTATATCTTTCTACAAGTCTGTGAATGACTGATATGATGCTGTTTGAATGATTATTAAAGAATTAGTTACATTTTAAAGAGGTCCTGTCTGGTGTTCTTTGACATCTTTTATCATGTCATGTGGCCTTCTGTAAAAGCCTGTCTGCAGGAACGCTGGAGAAAGAAACCACTGCACAACATGTTTGTTTATATTGTCATAAATCTGATCCAAAAAGATTATAAAGGACATTTCTCCACCAAAGTTTCACTTATATCAGTAAATTAAACACTTTATTTTACGGTTCCACATTTTCCCAAGAGGATACATGAAAAAGAATGAATGATATAATCTGGTACTAATTACAGGGAAATCAGAGACTGTAGTTTATTTGAGTCTGTGTAGTTTAGTTGATGATTGCTGAAGGGCTTTCTGGGGGGAAACTGCCCTGTGTATACAAAACCTGCAGAAAAGACAAATACATTAACAAATTGAATACAAAAAAATCCATTTCTATTCTTTTATTTCTGTTGAGGGGAATGAATTTCAATTTATGAGCTAATAAAATCCTGACAAAATGTTAATGTATATTTATATACATTATATTTATTGTATTTAAATAATGACTGAATTAAAATATCCTATAATATCAATCATTTTGTATTAATATCTACATTTATTTGTTATATATATTATTTGTTTTTAATGAATTAATTAACTGAATTTGATGGATTGATACGTCACAAACTGAACGATGCGCTCGGTAATCAGTCCTCCTAATCGATGACCGTCTTCAGTGATCTTAGCCACAAAAAAAAAAATAATAATAAGAACAACGCGCACTTCGTTTAAACTCAGTGCAAATGGACATCTACGTTTGCAGAAAGTTTATTTGTCGAGTTATTTATATGTATTCTGCTTGCTGGCCCCGTTAAACCTTCCTATATCCTAGTGGAACTGTAGTTGAAGGACTTGGTGAACACGGAAGGGATAGACCGCGTACCAGCGTGTTTCTCTCGTACGGGTGACCCCTGAGGACAAATAACACGTCTAAAGTGTGAGATTTTCTACCTGAAACAGAGGTAATAAAACTGTGTGTGTGTGTGTGTGTGTGTGTGTGTGTGTGTGTGTGTGTGTGTGTGTGTGTGTTACTGTCTGTCTGTGTGTGTGTGTGTGTGTTACTGTCTCTCTCTGTGTGTGTGTGTGTGTGTTACTGCTCTCTTGTGTGTGTGTGTGTGTGTGTGTGTGTGTGTTACTGTCCCTGTGTGTGTGTGTGTGTGTGTGTGTTACTGTTCTTTGTGTGTGTGTGTGTGTGTGTGTGTGTGTGTGTGTGTGTGTGTGTGTGTGTGTTACTGTCTGTTGTGTGTGTGTTACTGTCTGTTCTGTGTGTGTGTGTGTGTGTGTGTGTGTGTGTGTGTGTTACTGTCTGTTGTGTGTGTGTTACTGTCTTTCTGTGTGTGTGTGTGTGTGTGTGTGTGTGTGTGTGTGTGTGTTACTGTCTCTGTGTGTGTGTGTGTGTGTTACTGTCTGTGTGTGTGTGTGTTACTGTCTGTCTGTGTGTGTGTGTTACTGTGTGTGTGTGTGTGTGTTACTGTCTGTCTGTGTGTGTGTGTTATGTGTGTGTGTGTGTTCTGTTAGTGTGTGTGTGTGTGTGCTCTGTCTAACCTGATCTCTGTTTCCTGTCTTCCTCAGATGCTCTCTGTTATTTTCAGAAGAAGCACCCTTGCGGCCCACAAGGTAACGACTATTTCTAATTTCCTTTATTCACTATGACTTTAAAACTAAGCTGTGTTCAGGTTTTTAATATGATATATATATTAAATATATATATATATATATATATATATATATTTAATATGTCATTTGTAGGTGTTGCGTTGGGCCGGTCCTCCACAAAGATGCTGGACATCAGCCCTGACCAGAGCTACAACAGCACGGCAGCCGTTCTCAGAAAGGAACAACGGACGAGTAAAACCTCCCGCTGGCTTCGGCTTCGGCTTCGGGAGGTTTGAGCTCTTCCAGAGGACCCAGACTCATCCGGCTCCTTTCTTCCTGAACAACCAACATTTCCACTCTTCTGCTGTGAGGCTGAAGAAGCGACCTCGGCCCGAACCTCCTCCCAGAGATCTGGATCTGCTACGCTATGACATGAAGGACTTGTGGAAAGGTCCCAAACCTGCCCTGTACCTGGGGTTTGCAGGGCTGATCCCCTTCGTCGCCCCTACTCTGTTCATGGCTGTGACTGAGAGCTACTGTCCGGAGTTGGCCTACGCTCAGTTAGCGTATGGTGCCGCCATTGTTTCCTTCCTGGGTGGAGCTCGCTGGGGATTCGCTCTTCCTGAGAGCAGCCCCGCTAAACCTGACTGGATAAACCTGGCCAACAGCGTGGTTCCCTCCCTGTTGGCCTGGGTGACAATGCTGATGAGCAACAACATTACTGCTGCAGCCACTATGATTATCATGGCCCTTGGAATCTCACTGCATTATGATCTGTCTCTGCTGCCCACTTACCCCAGCTGGTTCAAAGCCCTGCGCGCCGTCCTCACCACTGTGGCGTTTTTTTCTTTCCTCGGTACTCTCATACTCAAGGAAATGTATCCAGAAAAGAAGATATTCACGGATTAAATAGTATTTAAATATTTGAAACTATAAAGCCACCATGTGTTTTCTTTATTTTGGCGATCGCACTTTAAGGTTTTTGTGTCGTGTTATGTTTTATACAGAAGATCAGGTCAAAAACAAGCCTTTGTAAAAGCAGAGCAGAAATTAACATCTAGTGTGCTTCATCTCTCAAAGTCAGAAATGTTCCTCACATCAAATGGTAAATGGACCTGTACTTGTATAGCGCCTTTCTAGTCTTCCAACCACTCAAAGCGCTTTTACACTACGTGCCACATTCACCCTTTCACACACATTCACTGTGTGAAAGCCCATCGAACAGAAACTAACATTCAAACACATTCACACACCGATGCATGGCATCGGGAGCAATTTGGGGTTCAGTATCTTGCTCAAGGATACTTCGACATGTGGCACCAGGAGCTGGGGATCGAACCCACAACCTTCCGATTTCGGAACGACCCGCTCTGCCTCTGAGCCACAAAAGAGGCCCTTCAAAAGAACAGAACAAAATCAACTAAAATGTGGAACAAGATAAATGCACCTTTGTCATTAAACACACTTTTTCTTTAATATTTATAATATTTTATAGTTTTTATAGTCACGAGTTACCAGAACCTAAAATTAGCTTGTCTGACCAACAGTTAGGAAACCCAGAGGAGGCAACACTTTTGAGAATCTCTTACCAGTTAATGCATTTTTGCTTGACTTCAGTGCTTATTTAGAGTAATTCAGCCAGAGAGGTGGAAAACAATTTTCTTTCAGTCCCTTCGTTCGCTACAAATTAGCAGAGCCACTCTTCCTGTGTCCCTTTTTTTTACGTGGCCAGGATCAGACGCTAAAGTCAGGGAGCATTACACATCGCTGGGGAAAAGGTATTACATAAGATCTAAACTGGAGTAATCTGTACTTAAAGCCTCAGGGAACAAATGCACACCATCAAATGGCCCAACACACACGGCTCGAGTGAACGCCTGTGCTCGGTTGTGAACCAGAATACATCAGGTTTTACAGAACGAGTTTTCAGATCGCAGCTGGCTCCTTGATTTGTTCTGCCACAAACATGTTTGTCAGTCAAACCTCAAATAAATCCATTAAAATCATTTCAATCATAAAACACTGAAAATAAATGCAGTCAAAACATCTCACATTTGTATTCGAATGCTTTTATTAATGTAAACACCAGCATCTAATTAAACAAATATTGGAAAAGAAAGGCAAAACATTAAGGGCGAAAAGTCCACAGATATCTGAGAAAAAGCACATAAGGCACGTTACTCCCCTGTTCACCAAACTCACTGAAAAAGGTGCAATAATGAAAAAAAAAAAAAAAGAGACGTTTGTGGAACCAACAACACCGGGGTGAAATCCGTGGCTCATTCATAACAACACGTGAATCGCCGAAGAGTAAATACAGTATTGCACTTCAAAAGTTTCCTCAGATTTCTAAGAGACAGCTCGCCGCTCACAAGGGACATCTGACACAATATTTTAAAGAAACTATATAAAAGCTGGACGAGTGTCTGTAAATAAATGGAAGGGTGTGAATCCTCAGCTATCTTTTGGATTTGGTGCAATAAGGTGCCTTTTGCTCAAATATTAGAGGAACATGTGACATATTTCTGGTGCAAATGACTCTTATAAAAACATAGATATTTCTACCCAAAGGAACAATTCAACAAAACAAAACAAAAAAATCAATTCTTATCCACATCTTGGGTTGATTACACTGAAAGTCAGTTGACCCAAACTGGGCCCTGAGTGTACTTAAATCTGTGGGTTCAAGCTAAACGCAGGTTGGACAAACAACATACATTTGGAAACACTGTAGAAGTCTGAATAAACATTGTCAGCCCCGTGTGAGCATTACATGATGTTGTAAACAATTCATTTTTTATAAAGACTTTAGCCAAAGACCTGCAAATCACTTAAAAAACCTCTACAGTGGCTCCATCTGCAGCAGTTTGAGTCCAGACTTTGGTGACCTAAAGGTAAACAAGTTCTTTACACGACGGTTTGAAATAAAACAAAATGCTTACACTCTCACAGACACACACACAGTCCCGAGAAACCTGCTGCCTACTTTTGAATACCCAAGCCAGACCGCATGTACTCGTACACCACGTAGCTGATGCTGACGGCCGGGATGACCTTCATGAAATTGGGCAGGATGCCACGGTAAAGTCCAAAGAAGCCCTCCTTCTCCAGAATCTTCTTCACCATCAGGTTCATGGGCAGCTGCTCTGAGCCCGCGACAGAAGCTGAGACAAGAAATAAAATAAAGTGAGCACAAGAGAAACCACTGGATTCTTGACAAAGGGAGATATATCAGTGTCAGGGAATAACGTCAATGCTTTAATTTCATATAAAAACATTTGTCCTTGAGAAAACGCCCAGGCAATGCCAAAGGTTCTCTCCATATACGTTTGTCCCCATTTAATAATCACAATCAATCATTTCTCTCAAGGTTTATGAGTTATCTTTGAACCCATAAAGCACACAGTAATTAAACACACCCAAACACCTTCACAAGACACAAAATGTCTTTGGATTAAACCTGCAATGACTGATTTTGGGGCAGCAGAAACAAGCTGTAAAATGTATGACTGAATAAAGTTAAACTGCTGCCTGTGTATCAGTCCAGCAGATAACCTACAGAGCAACAGTAGCAGGTATTTAGAGACATGTTTCTGGTCCCCTGAGGAATCTATGTCCAATATTCACTCTCCTTCTAGACCTGTTTTTAGTCTCCACTAACTCCTGAGTAAAATATCTCTCTCTTTAGCTGCTAAATGCTCCATTATGTTCAATGGCTATATTGTTTGACTGTGGTTTGGTGCTGGGAAGGTAGTATACACGTGGATTTTAGAGCTTTTTGCTGAAAACAGTAGCTTGCAGCGGTGAAACAAGGAAATAGAAGCAATGAGAGTGAACCAAAACAGCTGAAAGATGCAACAAAGTAGACTTTTTCTGTCACATATAAGTCATTTTGTAACTTGTTAATATAAAAACTATTAATTATAGCTGCTTTAACATAATGTTTACTAAATCTTTGCTTTAGCTACAGTATGTGCCTTTCAATGGTTATTCTTATACCAGTAATGTAATATTCACCGCTCAGTTGATTTAATTCTTTCTATATTTTTTCTCATCCACCAGCTGTTAAAGAAATTAAATGATTCCCAACGCTGTGTGTAAATCCCTCCAGATAAGATCATGGCAACACTTGGCAAATGCCAACAGTGCTACATTAAAAAGTTGCCAGAATTTTGAATGAGGTTTGGTTCTCTGTACCTTGTGCTTGCATCCTGGTGCGAATCAGAGCCAGGGGGTAGCTGGCCAGCTGGCCACACGTGCTGGATATGGTGCCACAGCCAAGCAGCACCAGAATGCCGGGATTGGCTGTGTCTTTGGCATAGCGGGACAACCAGTAGTTCTTCAAGCTCTGGAGAGGACAGGGAAGTGTTTGTGTGTGAGATGATGTTGCATATGGAAGAAGAGTTTTGTATTTACATTTTCCACGTGAGAATGATTCATCATCACGTACCTCGTACACCGCCAGATCTATGCCAGCGTAGGGGATGATGCCCAGAATATTGGGGATGTAGCCCTTGTAAAATGCCTTCACTCCCTCCTTCTTCAGGATTTTCTTGGCACAGTCAAACATTCCTGAGTACTGACCGGTCTTCCTCAGGGTCAGACGGGTCTTCATCACCTGCGAGGATAAAGATTATCAGTAAGGTTGTTCTTTAGCAGAACAATTTGTTAATGCGTTTTGTTATTATTCCACTATGTCACTCCTCCTATTTAGCTGAACGCTCACTTTAAAAGGCTTCTTTACCAAACATTTATTTATTTTCATTTTGGTTTGAGCTCAAAACATAAAAACTTTTCAAACCACCACAATCCACTTCCCTACTCTCCATACATATCCTCTGTATGTTCCACAGAGTCATTAGGGTTGAAATGCAAATAGTACATTTGGTTAAATATACTCCTGCTCAGAACACACTGAGCATACAGATGACCAGCGGGGAAGTGGATTAGGTTCCAGTGGGGGTTTGATAAAGTTTTCACAGCTTCTTTAATCAGTGAAAATTTGTCTGTGTTGAATCCAAACAGACTGCAGTCTCTGTTGACTGTGAACCTTCTACAGCCACTTATCAACCATACATGGTGTGAGTGTTTGATATTCAAACACAGTATCACACCCAGGTTTTGTTACGCTTGGTCCTGTAGTTCTTATGATGTTGTCATTTAAGGGCTTTAGGTTTCTATCCTCAACATTTCACATAAATATACACATTTGAAAATGGGTTGGGTTGCGATCATCTCTCGGTAACTGTTGTTGTTTGGTCCATAAAATGAAGAAAATGTTGTCACAAGGGCCCAATGTTTCTTTTTTAACTCAAGATCTGAGGACTAATGAAACCAGAAAATATTCACATTTGGGAAGCAGAAATCTTTAGAGATTAATTTAATAGTTAACAACTAATTGATTATTCAGCTATTCGTTGCAGCTCTTCTTATAACTTAACCTTCAAGTCTGCCTTACCTTCCTTAAAGTGCTCTAAATTTTTAGTTTGGACTGAAAGGCGCAGGATTTGGTCTTATTTAGGATGAAAATTATGAGTTAACTATCATCATTAAAAGTATATGAAGATACATTTTCTCTACCCTGATGCTGCTATTAAAACTGAGATACTAAACAAACCATAAACATACTGTAAATACACCTGTAAATTCCTCCACCTGTGCTTACCTCCATGGGGTAGATGGCAGTTTGTGCTGTGGCTCCGGCCAGCGATCCAGCCATGAACCTCTCGTGGGTCTTGACCTTGCCTGGTTCACTGGACAGCAGCTTCTTATACTAGTAAAACACAGTGACAAGAGAGCATTGCATCAAAACTCAATCACTATTTAGGGTCATCATGTTGCAGAGTTATAGTGTATGAATGTTTCCAGAGCCTGAGGTGCATACTGCTAGCAGTTTAAAGGAAGTGAAATGGATTTACCTGCTCATAGGCCATGAATTTAATGGCAGTCTCAGGAGCAATCTTCAGTACGTTGATACCGTTTCCTCTCCACAGAGACGTCAAGCCTCCTTCTTTTAGCATTTGCTTAAAACCACCAACCAGGCTGATTTTGTTGCTCTTAGAGGAATGCACCTGTAAATGAAAAAAACGCCTTGCAGTCGTAAGCCTGACTTTAAAAAGTGAATACATTCACAGAGTATTAAAGGCAGCAGGTCAAATACATAAAATACATTTAAGAACAGGTTAAACACCTAAATCCGACAGAGGGGATGTGACAGACAACAAATAGAAAGAACATTTTAACACACCTGCATGAACACCTTCATCCTGTCTAGCGGGGCGGTTCCTGTACGGGACACGGCGCCTGCCATGGCCCCAGCTGACAGCTGCTTCCACCACAGACCGGTCGTCTTCTCCTCCTCTGTGAACTCATCTGGGATGGCGAGGCTGTCACCAATGTCCAGCACCTACAACACAACACAGTATAAATAAATCACTTCACTTCAAAGTCATTTTAAACACTATGTGAACTTTTCTAGCTAAAACAAAGTTACATAACTTCTCAGGGCCGTGTAGACTCACACTGATATGTTGCTTATTTATAGCCAAAACAGGTTCTTCAAGGGCTGCTAAAACAGATACGTGTGAATTTGAAACAGTCACTTTCACTAAAACTTGTTTATTGTTTCAAACGTAATTTCAAAAACACATGGAAACCTGCTTTTGAGGTTAATGTATGTTAATCACGCAGCTTCACAACCACACACAATTCACAGCTTCGCCTTGAGCTTAATGACGAAACGCTATGACCTTCTCTAAAATCTTACATAACTACGGCTTCATGTGGTGAGATCGAGACAAGGCGAGTTAAATAGCCTAACTGTGGACAAATTATCATGTGATTAGAAGACTTACATTATTGATATTAGTGATGAACTAATAGTACACAACAAAAGCATCTGTAGATGTCTAACTGAGTCTTTAAATCTAATGTGATTTTGTGGCTGTTATTATTTATGGTAAACCTAATATATTGTTATCTCACAATACCCTTTACAGTGTAGTTTCATTCAATGCAACTATACATTATAACTCTATAAGCTGCTGTATTAAAGTGTATCAGAACAACTTAGGTGATGGTATTGAGGGACAACAAATGCTGCACAAACTAGAGTACTTCCAAAACCTTTGAGGGCAATACTAACATCAACATTGGAGAGATTTAACAAACCAATAACAATACATGAGTCAATATTCTTTTTTTAAACATGAACACATAACACTAAAATACATATATGATAAGGAACCCTCAAATTTGTGTGATAAAATACTTCCTGAGCGGGACATTTTACAGTTGAGAAACAAACCTGTAAGAACTTTCTAGCAGACAAATTACGTAATGGCAACACTGTTTCTCAATTACAGTAAACATATCGTATAGAAGTATGAGCCGACATACTTTATATGCCAATACCAGTATCTGTGATACACTAAAAATATCGACCACACTGATGTATCAATCAGGTTCTTTGAGAAAGACACATAAACTAGGTTTTCATTCATGACCAGGTGACAACGTGGACTGAGGGGCTAAATACCCAAACCTACCACGTCCACCTCCACCTCATAGATCGCCCCATCATCTTCAAAGTCGATGAAAAACCAGTTTCTCTGTTCTTGCTGCTGCTGCTGGGGCTGCAGCAGAGCCATGGCCATCTCAAGCCTTTGATAAAGGTGCTGATCCATTGCAATGTAGTATCAGTGCTGTACAAGCTCCCCCGTAAACTCGAATTCTCAGACTGATCTGGATCCTTTACACGTTTCTAATCAAGAGCCCAGTCTGATGTCGAGGGTCTGCAGATCCAATCCAGCCTGCAGGGAGAATCACTGAATCCGGAGTGGCCAGTAACCATCGGCGTGAATACTGGAGAGGCTGGGAAGCTCTCACTGCCGTAGATGTTACCGCCAATACCTCATCTCAGCTACCTCATTCCTGCTGTACTGTTCTAGGCTCACTTCCTCTCTGGTGGACCTGTCCCAATCCCAGTGACAAACTAATCCTACTTCAGGTCAGACTGAAATTAGCTTATCTCTGCCTCAGATTAGCAGCCACAGGTTTATTTAAAATCTGAGGTTGTGCCAGTGAACAGAGGCAGCAAACGTCAGGGATTAGCCATTGACTAGAACTTGCCGTGTCTCAGGCATGCAAACACAACTATACTCTCTGTTAGTCTAAATAGCTGCAAAAGGTTTATTAGTAAAATATGGATCAATAATTAAGACTACATTTCTAGATCTGGACCAGAAGGCTCTCAATTAGTCACACTCTGAAAAATAAATGTGTACAATATTGTTTTCTTGACACTTTCTTGCCACAACCCCTTTTTCCAAGAGAAGGTAATCACGCAACAAACTCCTCATAGCCTCCTTCTCTCTTGCATGCTCTTTCTCCACCTCTCTCCCTCCTTTTCTCACATCTTCTCTGGAAATGAAGTCTAATCTCTTGACGAACAGGTACTCATCTGTTGCCAGAGTCCTCGTCCAAATCCAGTGTCAGCTGTCAACTCTTTCACAACTTTCCCCTTTAGTGTAATGGCTTCTTAAAGAGAAGTCTGGGTCAGTCAAAGGACACTGAATGCAATGCAATGTTAATGGTTTTTCCCTCCATGCCTCTTCCATTTTATTTTGCAGCATGATAACCACTCCACGCATGTGCCCAAACACTTTATCTAGCAAGCTTTCGGCCATCATCGAAAGCATACAATGATATGTTGCATGGATTTAAGTGCGGGGAAATCTTTACTATCAATTTCCTACATTTTAATTAACATGAAGTTTGTAAGTAGTGATTTCTTTTTCTATGTGAGAGCATCCTCGACCTGCTCAGACTGGCCTTCGTGCAAATCCAAAAATGACGATTGTGTGAGAAATGCATTTATCATTACCTTGTTTTGAGAGCTGTAATTATAGGTCTGTTAATTGTGGAGAACATGTGATTGCAAAATGAACTGGGATGAGGGAATTTGGGACTCTCTTACACAAGAGACAAAACAAGTATCAATTCGCCAGCAACATCCATTCATGGTAACCTCATCAAACCAAAAGAGGCTTCAACAATAAGTGGGATATACTCTTCTTTAAAGTTTGGTCCGCACCATGAAAATGGATCTTTTCTCTGTAGTTTCACGTTAATATTCTTCACTCTGTGTCATTAACTGATCTTAAATTTGAATTAAAATCATTTGCAATATAACGAGTTGAACCTCTACTGTCTTGGCTCCATGCTTGGTTTTAAGTGGCAAATATTTTGGTCTGTGTTTTACGAGTGTATCACTCTGTTACCTAAAGAGGAATCCGACATTACGGTCTCTGTTCTCTTCCTCGCACACAGTGTAGTTTCTGAGTCACGCCCTCCACTTACCGTGCTGTGCTTCCAGTAACGGATAATCTCCTGCAGGCTGGTGGCTGTGTTAAACAGGAAATGTTCCCTCCATTCATTCCAGTCCACAGTCATAGTGCCGTCCATATCTATACTGTAAAACAAGGACAGACAGAAGACTGATCATTTTTCAAGTTTTATGTCATTTTTATCCAAAATCTGGATCTGAGGTCCAATTCAGTCTCGAATAACTGGTGTCCACTTGTTGGCTCATATGGGCTTAAAATGACTTGTTATTTGCATTAAATGGATTTTGCTGGACAATACATTTAACTTATCCAATAACAGGAATTATGAATGTTTTACTGACCTGAGTGTGCTAATTGTTAATTTCTTCCATTTTTGCCTTTTTTTATAAGATAAAGTGTAAAAGAGAGCTGACAGGCCCTGAGGCGAGGGAGAGAGATGTAGGATGACATGAAACATATTCGGCTGGACTCGAACTGGGAACTTTGTGATTACACGACCTCATGATTAAACTCTGGGCCAGCAGGACAAATTAATACATTTTCAATAAACTAATTTTCTGAATCCTGAAAAGAAAATAAGAATGTAATTAGTTTAACCAATAAAGTCTTAACTGGTTATACGTAACTAATCGGGACAAAAATAGAACTCAAAAAAATGAAATATCAGCACTAATTTATAACTTATTTAAATAATTAGCATTCCATTTTTCATGATAAAAGTCACTATTTATTCTGCAAACTTCACGTCAGCATCAGGAAGCTCTCCACCAAAGGAGATAAGACTACTGGATTAAGAACAGTGCTGACACTCCATACCAAATCCCATTCACTTTTTAGACCGATTAAGTTCCTCCTTACCTCTGCTCAGTCAGAGAGAGAGAGAGAGAGAGAGAGAGAGAGAGAGAGAGAGAGAGAGAGAGAGAGAGAGAGAGAGAGAGAGAGAGAGAGAGAGGGGAACATCATGAAAACTGAAGTCATCCAAACCTCCAATTTTATAAAAATAATTAAATGACGTGTCTCCTTGTCTGCCCTCAATCTATGCCCACACTCGTAAATTACAGTCTGTGGTTTTCAAACAAATCTTCTGATTCACAGTCATCTGATTCACATCCTGCTTTACTTCTCTTTCTAGGTCTCACTGTCAAGCACGCTTCTGTACATCTGCGGCGTCAGTCTCTGTTTATGCAAAGTACTGTAGCCTACAGCAACCTGCATGAAGCTGGTCTGACTTGCAGAGCAAAGACCAATATGAATAATATATGAAACAGGATCCAGCTCAGTGTAACACGTCTTCATTTCAGACTTATTTCCAAAAACATCCTCTATTGCTGAACAGTTTCACTTTTTGCTTCTTAAAAAGTGTTACCACAGAACATTTATTACGTGTTTTATTTTTTATTTTTCTGGTCAGAAAGACTGACAGGTTGTACACACACATTCAAACAAACTTTATCTGTGTGTGACAGAATACTTTTACTGATACAAATACTGATGATTAATGTATTATTAAATATCTATCAATATTTTAGCATCAGGAAGCTCAATCAGCGTTTGTGAACCAATAGCACAAGCAGGGAACCAAAAATGTGTAATATACCTACAGTACAGTCTGGAGCTAACATAGTTACAGCAATGTGTATGTACAGTATATGAGTAAATGTAAAGTCCAACCACAATCTCTCCACTTTCATTTCTGCTGTAGTTGTTTAATTCTCTCATTACTGTATTTACACAACGTTATGTTCTTTTTCTATTACAATCACTTCATTTAAGCAATTAATGTTATATTTTTATGACCAATGGTATCATTTAACTTTCTCTGCCGATGTTTTCATTAGATTTCAATATTGATGGTTTTCATGCACAATTAAAGTCACATCAAAACGTTAGAGTAAACTTTAAATATGCTATATATTCACTGTTTAGTTTAGATTTTAACGGCTGACGTCAAAGTCCAAGAGTTTAAGCCTAAATGTTTGCTTCCTTACTTCCAAAGGTAAATATCACGAAGCATGCAGCAAACTTCTTTTTACATTTTAACAAAATAACTCTGAACTGTTTCCTCTTCTACTTGATGTGCAGGTCCTTACTGTAATGACTGTGAGTAAAAGCAAAGTAAGAATTTAAGGTGCAACAACCAAAATTATGACATTAAGCAAAATGTTAAATAGAATATAGATATTTATAGGCCTGCATACAAAGAAAGAAAGAAATTATTATTTATTATTATTTTTATTTGGTATTTGTCAGCATTCTGGTAAAATTGCTGATGATAAAACACAAATAGCACCCAAATTAAAAAGAGAATGATGATCTTGTTATGTGCATAGTACGTTAGTATTTATTAGTTATTATATTAGAAGTTATTTCACAAGACTACAGTACTTATAAACAGATCCCTGGACTAGTGGATGAGGCACTTCTGTTTATCTGCACAGGCATGTTATTTAAGTACAAACGGTAGGAAAGTGAATTTCTTTTTAATTACGAAACTGTGATTGCACTCATACTTTGCGCCCTCGGCTTTCACAATGTTAATGGGGCAACCATTTTCTCTTAGGTTACATACTACAGGTTTTAATTCACGTGGTTCTTAACCAAACTCACCAAGCTAACAGAAACAGACGTGTTTATGGCCAGTTTTTAATCAAACTTAAGAGAATACTTCACCCATGAATGATCTTTTTCCTACATGTTAGTTTACTCTACAACTCAGACATATTTCCAGCTCTTTATCATGTACCATCAGCCCACGTCCCAGCCAAAATACAGACATAACTGGTTATCAGTCCCTCACACTGGTCCCCACCTTCAACCTCCTTCTTTCACATTTACTCTGTGTTCATGAGGGTTTTATGGGGGTCCTGTGAGCAATGGTCAATAAGATTTTTAACTCTTTAGTACCGCAGACCTTTTTCTAAATTATCAGCAGCTATAGAGTAAGCAGAAATACCTTTGAAGGATTTTCTGTGCCTCCTCTTTGCTGATGTCCAGTCCCAGATCGGCAAGCGACTGTTGTATCTCCATGAAGTCTACTCGACCTGTTGAAAAAAAAAAACAGTAGTCCAGACATTTCTAACATGCTGAGGGATATAAATCTCCTTCCTACACATGTACAATTCCCAATATTTACTTCTAGTGTTTAGATAAATTCAGTTTCTCGACTATTTGAACTACAGTTAAACCCATAAATGAATTTTGCAGGATAAGATAAAAACACCATACCGTCATTGTTTTTGTCCAAACTCTTGAAGGTGAGCCGTAACTTCTTCTCATGTTCCTTCAGATACTTGGTGAACTCGCTGAAGTCGAGCCCGTCGTCCTTGTCCTGGTCTCCGGAGGAAACTATTTTCTAAAAGAAAACACACAATATTAGCAACCCGGTGTCTTCGTGTCAGTGTCAGAGTATCAGAGTCTGACAGCAGCTGCTTTATGCAGCCAGCTGGAATGAAGCCGACAAATGCTTCTCTACTTTATCTGAACTCACTTCCTGTAGTGTGTACAGTCCTTTAATTGGTCTAATTAATCTGTCATCATGGTCTATGCTTTACTTCAATATTATATTTCCTGCTTGGCTTTTACATCTGAGTTTGACCACTTTTTAATCATCACCAAGTGCATGCAAATAAAAGAATATCCTTGTATGTAGAGGGATTGATCAAGAGAGACCTGAATTATTGTGTTAAATGAGGACACTTAATGAATTAGGCTGGTTAATGAGCAGCCAGTGTGCATGTTTATTACCTCTTTATCATATCATTATCACATACTTGCACGAAGACATGTGCACATAACAGTCCTGAACATGCTTTACCTTCATTTATTCAGGTTTGTTGCCCTTTTTCTTACCCGTTATGTCTATTCCTGTATAGGTATATTGAGCACAATGATAAACCAGAGTCAGTGTCTTTGCATGTGTGCACATACTTGATCAATAAAGCTGATTCTGGTTCTGATAGGGGAAGCTACTGTTTTGCAACAGGCAGCAGCGGCCTCTCCTTACCTTTTTCCCTGACTCATACTTATTAAGGTTATCGGTTCCACTGATGAGCGTGAGGAATGTGACATTATTTGATCAGCAAAGGTGGAACCTTCCTCCCACAATAAAAGCTCACCTGCACCTATACGGTTTGAACTTTGAGACAGTTTCAGAAATTCTGGTGCACCCTTCCTTCACCCACCCTGCTCTTTATCTGCCTGAGACTTTCTGAGAATTTGGTGAGAAGCCAGATTGTTCAGATAAATGCTCCAGGGGATTGGTCACTACTAAGGAAAAGTTGTGAGAAAATCCAGAGGAAATGAGACTCAAATTGAGGTTCTGAAACTGTCTCATGATTGGTTCAACACGTGTATCTGAATATCAGCGGGCAAGAAACTGAAGGTCCAAGTTATTCACAAATTTATTTGCCCAGATGGTTTTTTTCGTTCTATACTTTTAAACCACCAAGACAAAAGATGTGCTCAGGACATTTTCTGGGGGTCCTCATCTAATCGAGGGGATTGTTTTAGATTTAGGACAAGAGTTAGACACCTGGAACAACCGCCATCTGTTCTGTTGGACACTGAGCGGGGGGTTGGGATTAAATGCCTTGCTCCAGGGCAGCTCAATGGTGGACATGAGGGAGGAGCTTTCATCTCCCTGCAGTCAAAAATGTTACTGCATCAGTGAAAAAGAGTGATAATTGAGCTTTATTAAGGATAATGTGCTAAAACTCACAGTGGAAATCATGTAATATCATCAAAAGCTTCAGAAAAGCTACTAAATGGCCCTCGTGGTGAGACAGATTTCTCAACTACTGGACGATTACTGGACACAGGCCAAATGTACAGTAGGTTGGATTGAAACTATGGAACTATTGCTGCGAGATAAATGTAGAATAAAGTGCAAAGTCTAGTAAAGTAGCCCTAAAGTGATGAGTTAATGATATTTACTCCTGATCAGTGTATCATTATACTCAGTTATCAGGCAAAAATCACAAATATTTACTGGTTCCAACTTCTCAACTGTTAGATTTGCTGCTTTTTTCACTTTTATATCATCATAAACTGAATATCTGACGGCTCTGAACTGCTGGTTGGACGAAACATGACCTCTGAAGATGACATTTTGGGGATCTGGGTGACTGTAATGAAGCCTTTTCACTATTTTAAAAAAGATGAACCAATAAATCAAGGAATCGAGGTTATTTTAATGTCATTTAAAACACGATACTGTAAGTAATTTTAGCTGCAGGCTATAAGTAAAGCAAACAATAAAGTATCATGCATCTTGAAACTGTTCTTTGGGGCAAAAGTTGAGTAAATCTAGTTAGTTACTCCCTCTGAGGCCTGCAACTAAGAGTTAGGGTTACTTTGGGTTAAGACCTGCCCAGTTCCTTTAGGAATGCAGTACTACACACAGTGTTTGTGACAACTGTCTCTCCCTGTAAGGCATTTATGTGTACTGGTCACCGTTTCCATGACTCTACCTGAGCGGCTCCTTTCCCAGTTTTGATGCCCATAGCGGCCAGGCCTGCCTTCAGCTCGGACACATCCACCTTTCCATCCTTGTTGGTGTCCAGCTTGGCGAACAGATCCTCGTAGGTTTTCGACGCATCTTCAGCGCACTGGCAGTCCGTAAAGAACAGCTTCCTCACGACTTGGTACATGGTTGAGCTGAGTAATGTAAAACTCTCGGCCTGCAGAGCTCCACACAGACACAAACTGGGCAATTACGCACACAGACACACACACACACACACACACACACACAACCCGATTCCTGTGGCTGGCACTTCTGGTTTGAAGCAGTAGGAGAGTCCCGATTGATTTCAAAGAGATTTCCGCAGTGCAGCTTGGAAAAGAAGTCGTAGGGAAATCCTCATGAGTCGGTGCAGCATATAATCCGGTTTATATATATATGTATATGTTGATACAGATGTAAGGGAAGCTGTTTGCGGATCGGATGAGGTAGGTTGGCAGCGTGGAGCACAAGGGTGGGGAGAGTCTGCTCAGTTCGCCTCAACAGACCTCCTCTTTTACTGCGCACACACACACACACACACACACACACCCATTACAGAGACACACCCTTCAGCCAGAACAACAGTCACCAAGTTTTATTATTACAGCCTATATTTCCATATATAAGCCGAGAAAGCCGCTGTGCTCTCTACTTTTAGTTTAATTTCTTACGCATCCCCCCCCCCCAACCCCCCAACTTTATGCTTTTAAACTTAAGTTAGTGTCTTTTGTTGTGGGTTTGTGGTGTACCCCCCCCGATATACGCACAGAAATACGCACATTGATACATAGAGTACCGATATAGTGCTTGCTCCCATTGTGGGCTCCACAGTCGGTGTAGGCAGTCTGATTCAGATCAGTGAGTCATACCCAGAGGAATCCGACAACTGGTCCAAGAAAAACATCCCCCAAAACTTTTCTTTTAATTAAAGGTCCAATTACGTTGAAGTAGGCATAAAGTTTAGGTGGAAATCTGAAGAACTGCACGTCTGATTAACTTAGATTTTGGTTTTCCATCTATCATCTTTATAAACTCATGTTGTGCACCATAAAACTTTTTTCAAAAAGTTCCTAATGTTTCTAAAAATATCAAATAGGCCAAGTTTAAACAGTAAAAGAATCGCCTATAATTAAACATATAGGTTTATTCACATGTTGAACATTTCACTCAGTGAGAATAATATGGGCTCAATGCCTAATAAAGCTTTATTAGACATTGATCCAACAGTATTAAATAGGCAAATACAATGTGAATTTGTACATATAAATAAATACAATTTAAATATTAAAATAAACTGTCTTGAGAGTGTCATAGCAGTGCCGAGGTTTTACCACGAGGTGGCGACAGATGTTACATAACAGCAGCTGGTTTCACTCTGCTGTTGTAATCTGTCCAATCAGAGCTGCTGTTGCTGTCACTGACCGACAGGAGGCGACGGAGAGAGGAGGCGGGCTTCATGAACTCCCATCAAGCTCACTGCTGTCAGTACTGTGCATCCGGTTAATGCATGAATACTTTAAAATAAAAGCAGAGACATACGCGACCCTGGAAACGTTGTATGTGTTGTTCAGTTTCTGGTGGTGGACGAAATATTTAGATCTTTCACTTAAGTAAAAGTAGTAACAATTAAAAATATTAAATTGAATTGTTAAAATATACTTTAAAGTAAAAAAAAAAAAGTACTCATTATGCTTTTATATATTATATCACTGAATTATAATTAACCTACAATATTTGTCCCCCAAATTAGAAGTTTAAAGGAGCATTACAGTACTTTAGTAAATGTACTAAGGCAGTGGATTGTTTCACATGGGGTTTGCAAGGCCTGTGTAAGAAAACATGTTATTTTTAAAGTTTAGATTATTATTCAAGATCAAAACTCTGAAGACAGCCTCGTCTTGTATTAGAAAAGTAAGTAGTTAAAACAACAAAGAGCTAATAGACCAGTAGGGTAAGTGTCTGTTAAGTCTGAATGATTGTTAAAAATGATTTAAAAAATACATAATAATAGAGAAATGTATAAAAAGTTACTAAAAATATCAGGAAAACTCAAATTATCTGCTCTATATTTATCCAAATCTCTGGTTTTACACAGATGTCCAGTGGTTATTGTGTCACCATGTACTCAGGGGTCACCACTTTAGAATAGAATAAAATAGAATAAACTTTATTGTCCCAGAGGGGAAATTAGTTTTGGGCACAGTGCTTCAATCTGTTGCTTCACAGAAACAAACATACATCAGAAACCAATCACAAAATCAACATGAAACATCTTAAAACACGAAAGACACTTAACATTTTAACACTGACAATAAAGAAGTTTGAAAATAGACACTTTAAGAATGAAAGTGTCACGGTGCTGGTTTGTTTATTACACGTTGCCCTATTGCAGTATTATTTAGTATTAGAATTCAGCAGCTTGATAGAAATCGGGACGAACGATAACTTAAGTCTGTTTGATTTGCACTTTGGCACACAGTCTTCTTCCTGATGGCAGAGGTTCGTATGCAGAGAAGAGGGGATGTTGAGGGTCCACGATGATTTTTGCTGCTTGTTTCATGACTGTGTACTCATACAGGCTCCGTATGATAATAAGATATACCTTTATTAATCCCCCGTAGGAGAAAGTTACACACAGCAGCAATTGGGGAATATAGTGCAAAATAGACAATCTTATCACAGATAAGAATATTACAAAATATAATAGAAATATAAAACTATGAATGAAAAATGTATACACTTTATGCAAGAGGCAATGTGCAATGGTGTGGCCAGCCTGCTTTTCAGCTGCAATGTTAAGTGCCAAACCATGCTGTGAATCCATATCTGATGATGCTCTCTGGGATCACTCAGTGATAGAAAAAAGGGGTCACTTAAGGAAAAAAACTGTTCTAAGGTAACGAAAACGCAACAATTCTTATTTTAATAAATAAAATAAAAACATACCTGTGAATATTATATTCACTTTCATACAATAGATCCTCCTAAATGTTAATGTTCTTTAACTTCTTTGCACCTTATCTATCTGTTTATCTTTTATATCTTTTCTACCCAAGTATTTTATTCTATTGTTGTATTTTATTCTATTGTATTTTATTGTATTTAAATATACCTGCTAGCTGCTATGACGACCCAATTTCCCTTCGGGGATTAATAAAATCTATCTATCGATCTATCTATTACGGTGGCCCTGAGGTGCAAATCACAACAGCAAATCAGAAAACACGACACAAAAAGAGAAAACACAACACAAAAAGAGAAAACACAACACAAGAAGAGAAAACACAACACAAAAAGAGAAAACACAACGGCAAATCAGAAAACACAACAACATTAACCAAACCGGAAAAGGTAGGTACCCTCGGGCGACATGAGTCGTCACTGATTGGACAAAAGAACTAGTCCGTCCTTTGAACCGGAAACACAACACCGCCAGACCTATGCGTTCAAGTTGCCAAATCTGAAAATTCAAACCACTAAATAAGGAAAATATTGTATTAATACGTCCGTGTTAATGTGGGATACCTAAGAGAGGTAGAAACAGGGGTTCCAATAGTCCATATCTATGTGTTTTCTGATTTGCCGTTGTGTTTTCTCTTTTTGTGTCGTGTTTTCTCTTTTTGTGTCGTGTTTTCTGATTTGCCGTTGTGTTTTCTCTTTTTGTGTCGTGTTTTCTCTTTTTGTGTCGTGTTTTCTCTTTTTGTGTTGTGTTTTCTGATTTGCCGTTGTGTTTTCTCTTTTTGTGTCGTGTTTTCTCTTTTTGTGTCGTGTTTTCTCTTTTTGTGTTGTGTTTTCTGATTTGCCGTTGTGTTTTCTCTTTTTGTGTCGTGTTTTCTCTTTTTGTGTCGTGTTTTCTCTTTTTGTGTTGTGTTTTCTGATTTGCCGTTGTGTTTTCTCTTTTTGTGTCGTGTTTTCTCTTTTTGTGTTGTGTTTTCTGATTTGCTGTTGTGTTTTCTCTTTTTGTGTTGTGTTTTCTCTTTTTGTGTCGTGTTTTCTGATTTGCCGTTGTGTTTTCTCTTTTTGTGTCGTGTTTTCTCTTTTTGTGTCGTGTTTTCTCTTTTTGTGTTGTGTTTTCTGATTTGCCGTTGTGTTTTCTCTTTTTGTGTGGTGTTTTCTCTTTTTGTGTGGTGTTTTCTCTTTTTGTGTCGTGTTTTCTCTTTTTGTCGTGTTTTCTCTTTTTGTGTCGTGTTTTCTCTTTTTGTGTTGTGTTTTCTGATTTGCCGTTGTGTTTTCTCTTTTTGTGTTGTGTTTTCTGATTTGCCGTTGTGTTTTCTCTTTTTGTGTCGTGTTTTCTCTTTTTGTGTCGTGTTTTCTCTTTTTGTGTCGTGTTTTCTGATTTGCCGTTGTGTTTTCTCTTTTTGTGTTGTGTTTTCTGATTTGCCGTTGTGATTTGCACCTCAGGGCCACCGTAATCTATCTATCTATCTATCTATCATGAATGGGTTTAAAACGCTCAGCATACATGCTTCTATTCTGAAAATCCCCAACAGGAAGCAGCTCTCCACCGTCGCTTCCGTTAAACTCGCAGCTTTGCCTCCAGCAGCCCCCTCTCTCTCTCTCTCCCTCTCTCTCTCTCCATCCTCCCACAACATAACACTGAATCACAACACAATGGGGCTGTAATGTGAGCGACGGCCGAGCCCGGAGCATCTTCTCGCCACTCCAGAATCTGTGTATGGATTTAATGATGATGAAAAAGAAGAAGTTTAAGTTCAAGGTGGATTTCGAGCTGGACGAGCTCTCCTCGGTGCCCTTCGTCAACGGTGTCCTCTTCTGTAAAGTCCGACTGCTGGACGGCGGGTTCTCCGAGGAGTCTTCTCGGTGAGGATGTTCGGTCTTAATCCAGTTCGTTAAAACGTTAAACTTCGTCTTCTTTAACTAAACTAACCTTCAGTAAGCCGAGCTCGGCTGCAAAACGCTGCTAGCTCAGCAGCTAACAGGCTACACGACTAGAAACGAGCTCAGTGGTAATGGTGTTTGTTTTTGTTTGTTTTTAGGTTGTGTATATATATATATCGTATATCAAAACAAACACAGGGGCATAAATGTGGCAGATACAAGCTACAGACTAAAATCTGTGCAGAAATCTTTCGTGTTCGAGGCGACATCTGGTTGCATTTCACATTTAAATCAGCTGAGCTGTCACATAAATATAAAAAAAACCTCCTCAGTGTACTGCTGCTCGATCAATAACAGTCACTTATGGTCATTGCCTCCCTGTTTGGTCATAAAGTTATCATTGATAGTAGGTGGAAGGTGTCTGTTATTGATCAGGACAGTGCATGGTTGTAAATCTGTAGACGTCTTTGTGCATTAAAGCAATGTGCCAAATCATTTCTGTCTTATTGTTGGAAGTATTTTTTATTTTTCTATGTGAGTGAAACTAGGTCAACTCAAAGTGTAATTGTAATTTTGCTGCCTCATTATTTTAGCTTTGAGATACCAACCTAAGGTCCACAGCAGTGTCATGATACTGCTGTTATTGGTGTCTTATCACCGCTTGC